CACCTAGGGGCTCGAAACGATCACCCTGTTCATCCACAAACTATCCTTTTGACTTTCCAACACAAACAATTTAGACAAACAATGACAAACATCTGGCGCCTCCTCCTGCTCCAGATCTCATCTGCCGGGTTCCGCATGATGTACTGGCACGTGTTCGTCCTGTGAACGAAACTCCATCCCGTGCCACCCACAAGTGCTGCGGGAGGGCTTCCGCCTCCCGAGCAGGCTTCTCAGGCCGCCGCATTTGGGGCCGACCAGCCGCATCCCAGCCCAGAGGAGGGCGTGCATCGTGCCTTTGAAGTATATACTCTGTTTCTATATGATGTCGTGGTGCAGATGCAACCACTTTGAGTGGCTCAAACTGCGTATTTTGAATAGTAGACTGTGCGTGGTACATCGAGAAGCTGCGGTATAAACATGCCGCGGACTCAACCCCCTTTATGGATCTCTATGGTGTACTCGAACACACTTACCAATCGCCCTAATCACCCAACTGTGGGTACTGTAAGTACACCATACAATCATGGCATTGGTCATCTACATTGCCGGTCCACATCACCCATCAAACGTGGCACGACTGGCACCCTCTGAAACACCCATCCGGGTTCATCCGGGTTCATCCGTCCCAATTGATTAGGTGATTTTTGTCACCCCATCTTTGTGGTTGTAGATACCCTCTGGTACCATCTGGTTATTTAACATAGCCATGGAAAATCCCTTATAAATGGAGGTTTTAATGGGAAAATCATCTATAAATTGGCCATTTTCCATGGCTATGTTAAATAACCAGAGGGTAATTTAACATAACTAGTGAAAATTGCCATAGAAATCCGTGATTTACCCATTAATAGCATGGTGATTTTCCATCGCAAACTGTAAACGTTGAGGGGAACTGAAAAGTTGCCGCTACGCCCGAGCATTGAAACAAAGCCATATCACTGGGTTTATTTTTAGATTTTATTCCCAATAATATGTATGCATATGACCATTTTGTAAAATGTTTGTTGGTCAGAGTTCCAATTCTTGTTACAAACCACGTGGTTCAATTGTCAGGATGATATATATATATATCTATATATATATGTATAGGGAGTATGTATCATTGGTATATGTCATAAAAGGTCAGTATGTATATGTATATGTATATGTATATGTATATGTATATGTGTATGTGTATGTGTATGTGTATGTGTATGTATGTATGTATGTATGTATATATATAAGTATATGTATCATTATCCTGTTCAATACATAGTCTTGACATATTTCAACTACATGGTGCAAATTGGTGGTACAAACACTATATGCATACATCATATCACTACTGGTAATAAACAGTATATATAGTTACTATACGCAACGTACACATGACATATACTGAATTAAAAACTAAACACTTTATCGGTAAGTACTCCTGCAATAACGATTCATCGTGATCATTAATTACCACATGGGTGGGTCAAACCCCGGCAAACCGCCAATTTTTGGACACCAAGGATGTAGAAAATAGTGCGTTCCGTGCTCCGAATTATTTCATCGTAAAATGGCAATGATTCATCATCAGATACCATTCTTCCAAGGACCTATGAAATCCCAAATAGATCCAATGTAGATTAAGGGTTTGAAACATAAATAAATGCAGCAATAAAGGATCCACCCAAGCATTAGATTTATACTCCAATAAAGGATTCAACTTCCAAAATATCTCATTCAAGTCACCAACAAAAATCCACAACCATAGCGCGCAGCACAGGCTCGCCTGCTTGTGTTCGTCACTCACCTGGTGAGTTTACTGGACCCCACCGGGAGGATGTACATCCAGGGAAAAAAAAGGGGTTGGAAACCCACCCAAATAAGGATGAGTCAAAACACTGGCACCCAGATGGTACTTGATGGTACCATCTGAATAGTTGGGATTTATGGATGTCTATTCCCCAAAAAAATGGGGTGACCATTAGGTAAAATAACCCACCCAAATGGATTCCTTTTTTGGATCTTTTAAGACAAAATGTTGGGTTGACCATTGCACAGATGGGGGTCTAAACACCGAGCCGAAACACATAAGTTATGCACATGGATGTGAAAAAGGCACTGCCGCACTAAAGAATTATTGGGATGTAGAGAAAAACGCATGGTGGCAATGAGTATGTTGTTCACTTTGTGAACGAACATGGGGATGGTTTACCAGCTTTTAATGAGGGCCTAAACTAGGGTTAATCAGTGTTAACTATTAACTATTCCAAATCATCCAAAATTAAACAAGTTTAGTATTGAAACCCAAGTTTTTTGGGTACCACCATTTCAGGAAACCTCCAAATTGGGATGTCAACAAACAAAAGTTTTGCAGATGGCATCGAATCGACTCAAGCTGGAACTGTGGCACATTGCGTTGATAGCTCTGGACTTCAGGACCAAAAGGAACTCTACAACTCAACCAATTTTGGCAAAAAAAACTCTTCAAACCAGCTGGCCCGGTTCTTAATGTTTCCTATTTCCGAGAAACCATCGGGAATACATAGAGTCTAGATGTTAAATTCACCAATCTGAAACGAACAGATTTTGGGATGGTTCCAACCAGCCAAAACATCCTGACTCATTCGTGGCGTCGCAGGTCGTGACGGTTCATCCACAACCCGACCAGCATTCATATTATATATATATTACCCTCTGGTAAACTAGCAGTAACTAGCATAACTATGGAACATCACCGCTTAAATAATACGTAAATCAACTATAAATGGCACTACACTTTAACAGGTAAATCAACGAACTATTGATGGGCCATTTTCCAGTTCGCAAACTGTAAACGTTTACCGGAGGGTAATATTCTTGGCTATATTAGTCCAGTTGCATCCCCATTCCACTTACATCTCCATGAAATCACAACAAGATGTTCCGATATCAACATATTGTAATTCCTAAATTATAATGTAGATTACAGTAAATATATTCGTCAACCAACGCCACGGTTTGAAACTGCTCGCCATCATGAAATATCCCCATTTCTGGTGGTTAAGACCCAAATTGTGGTGGTGAAATCATGCTAAATCCCCCCAATGTTGCAGGTGAATACATCTTTTGCCCTGTAAATGACCATAAATCCCGCTCTAAAGTCACCAATCAACCAGGTCAACCCATCAAAATCCCCATATGTGCCATAAACATCCATAAAAGATGGTACCAGGTTTACCAGGTATGGGGATCTATCCCATCACAAGAGAGTCCTGGCCGCAAGAACTTGGCCATGTACCCTCTGGTAAACAAACAGTTTGCTATTGAAAATGGCCCAGTCGAAATAGTGGATTTTCCCATTAATAGCATGGTGATTTTCCATAGTTTTTTTGTTAACGTTTACCAGGCCGGGTAGTTGAGGAGAACCATGAAAGAAATGCATCGCAAGATGTTGCAATCTGCCCTTCGTCCAGCTGCTATCCTTCTGCTATCCTTTGGCTATCCTTTGTGCCGTTCGGCAGTCTGTCTCTCTGGAAAGCTGACGGGCCAGGCCTTTGCGACCACCTTTCTACGTCGGTGGTGGATTTGATCCCAAATGAAGATAAGTGATGGGCGAACGTCCGAGTTGGAGACAATATCTTTAAAATCATATCAAATCTCGGTCATGTCCCATTAAAAACCCATGTTAAACCGGTAATTAGTCCATTAATAAAGAAGATTACGAAGATGACCATTTTGAGTGTGAATTAAATCCCATTGAATCCAAGTTTTGATATGACATGCCTATTAAATCCTATCAAATCCCATCAAATTCCATTAAGTCCGATTAAATCCCACTAAATGTCACTAAATCACATTATATTCCCATGTCAAATCCCATCAAATCCCACTAAATCCCATTAAATCCTTATGTTAAATCCCATCAAATCCCACTAAACCACATTGAATCCGAATCCCATCAAATCCCACTAAATCCCATTAAATCCTTATGTTAAATCCCATTAAATGCCCATGATTCCACACTTCCATTCACCGCCTTCTTGTGTTCTGTGATCTCGGCTGCTGCCTGTTGACGCACCTTTGCACGAAAAAAAAGTCCGGGACCCGGGTCCAAAAATTCAAGGCTGGAAGCCAGCAAACAAAAATGATTTGTGCAGGCAAATGAACAAACATTCTGCAGTTTTTGGCCCAAAATACCAGTTATAAATGGTTTTTTATGGCTACAAATGTAAATGTGGTTATGAAGCATGCATGGGGGTGACTTACTGACTTATGGCATCTTACTGGTATGGAAAGGGCCATAGCTGTGTTGCGGAATCCTGCACCAGGCAGGGGATAAACCTCCGTCATCTGGTGCAGGATCTTCGGAACCATCGGGATATCATGGGATATCAATGATGCCTTGAGTCGACTTCTAAAACAAAGTCACACACCATCTGGTTGGTGGTTTAACCATCTTGAAAAATATGAGTTCGTCAATGGGAAGGATTATCCCATATATGAAATGGAAAATAAAAAATGTTCCAAACCACCAACCAAAGAAGACGCCATTATCAGTAACGGCTCAGAAGGAAAACAAGGGCCGCTGACCCAGCTGGCATGCCACCAAAGAAAAAACCCGGCAAGGCGCCGCTCCCTTAAGGAGAGGTACCGAGTGCTAAGCAGGGACCAGGAAAAAAAAAGGTGGGAGAAGCACAGAAGCTGGGAGCCAACCCATGGTGTTGCGGGATGATTTTTTTACTGATATGCCGTTTGCTTCTCGGCCAGCTGACTCAAAAAGGGAATCGGGAGACCAGCTGGAAACCTGATGTTGACTCGGGAGCCGCTTAAAGTGTTTCCATTTGGAAATTGTAAGAGAAGTCTCACAAGAAAACAATTCAATCATGGCCAATCTTCGATACCAGTACCCTGCAAAAAATAAATTCTTAGCTGGTTTGTAAGTAGATAATCCCATTGACACCAAAAGACTGAAGGATTAGTTTCTACCCATCCAGTCGATTGACCTCGGCACCGTTGGGACCCGGCCCACCGTGGCACCATCATGTAGCTGTAAATCTCGACCATTGGAATCCTCTTCTCTTTACGTTGCTGTTCCATGTTATGCTTTTAAGCTTTCCATACACATCAGAAACTCTTTGGGAACTCTCTGAAAATTCATCAAAGTCAGGAGTGATCAGGATATTTCCGACTTTTCAGGCTCTGAATTTGCTCACCAACAATATATACAGGGTTGATTTTGGTTTCTTTTTTATGTCTGCCCTGATCCAAAGTTGGATTGTACACCCTGCCATAAATCAGGATGGTCATTTGGAAACCATCTTTTTTGAGGTGCACCCCAGAACTGTGGCACGAACATCCCTGTGATTGTACCATGTGATTTTCCATTGGCAATTTCCAAGGCCCTGGATACAATTAGTGACCCCAAGAATCGGCTAGTGAAATCATCGGGGAGGAATTTTCCAGGAGAATTCATGGGGATCGGCGATGTTTTTGGCTTCCTGTCTATGCCCAGCAAATCCAATGGCTCATCATTCTACCGACCTTGCCATGGGCTCCGGAGAGTTCACTTCGATCAACTTGTGGCAACAGGGGGGAAACGGGCTGACCAAAATCACGCCATTTGCTGTACAACTTTGGAGCTTTAAGAATCGCACACATACGGGGCACCGGGCATGGAGACTGTTGAAGGTAGAAAAACAAATGGCCTTCCACGCTCCTCCATCACACACAAACTGATGTCCCTTGCTGTGCGTCAATTCGGCACTAAAAACTTGGTAAGTGCGGCAGCAAACGGCAACAGCCGCGACAGCCAGGCATCCAAAGATCCTCAGAGCATCCCTGAGCCGCTCGATGCATCGTTGTGGGCAAGTCCCGGCAAGTCTGCCGCAGCGCTTGAGGCACCGTAGCCCCTTCTGAAAGGCGGCGCGCTTTCCGGCGCTTGTTGCTGCCCTGCACCATTAGTGCGCCGTTGCTTCAGGCACGTAGCGTCGCTGTTGTTGTTGTGTTGCTGTTGGTGTTGGTGTTGGTGTTGGTGTTGTTGTTGTTGTTGTTGCTGGTGGTGGTGGTGGTGGTGGTTGTTGTTGTTGCTGTCGGTGTCGTTGTCGTTGTCGTTGTCGTTGTCGTTGTCGTTGTCGCTGTCGCTGTCGCTGTCGCTGTCGCTGTCGTTGTTGTTGTTGTTGTTGTTGTTGGTTGTGGTTGTTGTTGTTGTTGCTGTTGTTGTTGTTGTTGTCGTTGTTGTTGTTGGTTGTTGTTGCTGTTGTTGTTGTTGTTGTTGCGGTTGTTTTCAGTACATGACCTTTGAATGAACCCCTATTTGAATCCCATGTTCACCACTGTTGATGGTGAAAAAAAACGATTGTTCTCGCAGTCATGGTACTATTATGTACTATTGGAGTGGTCACAAACATCTATCAGAGGAAAATGATCTACACAATTCTACACATTGGGTTTCCACATCTATATTATAGTTCACTAGATGGTCGGTCCGATTAGCATTCCATGAGTTATCCCAATTATTATCCCATTACATATCCCTATTAAACCATATAAAACAGCTATTTATCAGCAAAATGTGGTCCATGATTCTTCCATTACGTTTCCATTATTATGAACGCATTTATCTGATCTTTATATCAATAATCCATTACAAAAATGATCATAGATCCCATGAAATCCTCGATTTATCATAGTCATTCCATCCTAATTCCCATGATTATCCCATTATCCCCGAAAAAAACGATGTTTTTTTCCTATTAACACATTGGGTCCCATTATAGTGATATCATCCCAATTATCATCAAAATAATAGTGATAACTATGACATACTTGACAATCAGAATGAGATATATCACTTATATCACTATCAAATCCCCTTACCCTCTGGTTATGACATTCACAGGTTCGCCATGGAAGCCATCACCATGCTATTAAGAACGGTAAACCCAGGTAAACCATCTATTTCGATTAGGGCCATCGAAATCCCATGGCTATCTTAAATAACCAGATAATTAACCATCAATAACCATCATTAATCACCATTAACCATCTATTTCTATGGGCCATCTATACCATGGCTATGTTATCCCCTTAACAGTTACCCTTAACGCAACAACGACCTGTCGCCTGTCGCCGCCCGGTGAGTTTTTGCTGAGTTCAGCCGACGGCATCCAAGGCTTGCAAGGCATCGGTGCCCGCCTGCTTCGCCTACAGTTGAAGATGGTAACTATATGTCCACTATATTCCTTTAGTATACAAGTATTTATAATATGATATATATAATATAATATTCTATTATATATACAATAATATATATATATAATATATATAATATATAATATAATATATAATATAATATATAATATAATATATAATATAATATATAATATAATATATAATATAATATATATAATATAATATAAATATATATATTAAATATAAATGTATATATATATATATACGGTATGGTACCCCCGCCCCCCAAAGAACCTACCAGTTTGGGAGTTTTCTTCGGACAGTGGGCATAGTTGGATTCCCACTACAGTTGATCCCCATAATTATCCCATGATCACCGGCAGGTTTTAATAATGGAACATTGACAGACCGCCATAATGATTGTTTACATTATTATTACCAGAATCCAAAAAATCCTCAGTATTGGTATTAATACAGAAATCATGGAGCGTTTTTTCTAGGACTATCCCCTGTGATATCAATTCCTAGGAACATGGAAAATAACTATATTGTTTGCATAAATTACATAGGAATCACGAATCTCTGGTACTCAAACTATAAATGCGCTTTTCAAGCTGGAAAAATCGTCTATGGGCGATTCTCAAGTGCCATCTTTGACCGGAAGTTCTCGAAAATTATCATACCCATATGCTCCATGTATTGTATATTTACCTACAAAACTGGGCCATTTATGGGGTTTTTATGTAGGTAAATATCTCATACATGGAGCATATGGGGTATTACTACAATATTATCCCCCATATCATCACACTAAAACCAGCATAATATCTTCACATGGTTGGTTGCATCCACGAACAAAACACCATTAAAATCCTAAGGACATGCAATATTCAGCATATTATGTTCCCATGGCAATCATATTCAATCCATAAATTCCACAGATTCATCTTATTAAATACCAATAAATAAAACAAGTCTTCATCATGGTTCCATAAATCACCATGCATTCATGTGTCTTTTCCACCATTTGTCCCACCACAAATCACCATTTCCCCACCATTCCTACATAAAACTATATATCTGGGTAAATTGCCATAGAAATAGTTGATTTACCCATTAATAGCATGGTGATTTTCCATCGATTTTTGTCAACGTTTACCAGGCCGGGTCGTGTTCTTATTGATATTAGTCACGTTTACCAGGCCAGTTGACCGCCATAAATTGGGATGATTCCCCCTTTTTCCGTTTAGCATTTTCTGAACCAGGCGTAACGAACCGGTCGAACCGACGTGAGGTCACGATCTAATTCATCACATATGCTTGGTGATTCATTCTCCCAACAAACATTCTCACTTTTTTTCCCAGAAGCTCATAAAAATCCCAGTGAAAATTCACACCATTCATGGGACTATGATGAAAAATCTCCCATTGTATAGAGGGTAAATCACCCTCTTAAATCACCATAGAAATAGTGGTTAAATCCCATTAAATCCCCATTAAATCCCATTAAATCCCCATTAAATCACCATTGTATCCCAATTGTATCACCATTAAATCCAATGAAAAATGCCATGAAAAAGACTGATTGTATCGCCTGCTCCAAGCGCGTCTTGTGATCCTCCAAAACGCCTCGAAACCAATCGGTGTTTCGGTCACTAAAACCATGGGATTTTTGCTCGGAAAAGATTGGAAGTAACACGGAAAAATGGGATGTCATGGACTTTAGTGTAATTTTGTGGATTTTAATTGGACTGTGTCAATCAACAATAATTAATAATTGCGGTTTAGTCCAAAAAATGGTTGAGATGGGTTTAAAGGAAGTGATAGGAAGGGATATGGATGGGATGATATTCTGTTTTCTATGGGATGATATATGGGATTTATTATGGGTATATCATGGATTATCACGGTAGGATAGTTTGTCTGAAAATTGATGAGATTTTAGCACGAAGAATTGGGATTTGCTTGTGTGCGATTGGAATGGGATTGTGATTGAATTTGCTGATACAACGTGGCCCTCGAGTTACTGAAGATGTGATATAACTTGATCAATGATATAAAATTTGATGGGATAGTGAGATTATATATATATACATATACTGATAAATTTGGTCTGATTACACAATTATACTTAAACATTAAATATGAGACTTGTGTTTAACGTAAACCAAAGGAAATATAACCGCAAACGATGCTGTGGAGTAACCATCCGACTAAATGCAGGGATCCCAGGTCAAATAAAGAACAGTTGTCGGGCTTCAATCTCCAATTCAAAGAATGTCACTAGCAGATCATCATGGAGGAAAGACACGTATATATATATATATTATATTTAATTTATATATATATACATGAGTTTTTTTCCAAACCCCAATCAAGACAGGACGATAGGCAGGGAAAGCTTGGCCTCATTGCTCCAGCAACCCTCCAGCAACCAGGGTTTACACAATTGCTGAACTGTGATTTCACTGGCATTGCTCACAATAGATATTCTCAGGTCTAAATGTCTGGCCAAGAAACGAAAAGACAAATTTGACGTTGTCTGCTGAAGATGATATGATGTACACCAGTTGCCCGAGTTGCAACAGCTCTTGCATTGAGCATGCAGACCCTAAAATCCAAAAAATTGCCTATGACGACGGGCATCATCGAGGGCAAAGAAACCTGAAGAAACCTGAAGAAACCTGAAGAAACCCGCAGAAACCTGAAGAAACCTCAAGAAACCTCAAGAAACCTCAAGAAACCTCAAGAAACCTTAAGAAACCTCAAGAAACCTCAAGAAACCTCAAGAAACCTCAAGAAACCTCAAGAAACCTCAAGAAACCTCAAGAAACCTCAAGAAACCCGATGCCATGTAGAACCTCAAAGTGAGGTCTTTGGGACGCGGCCTTTTGGGCATCTGCGCTGCATCCCCCAGCCCGCGTATCTACGGCTGGGTGGTGGGCTTTCCCGAACTAAAACATGGTGATTCTCCAGTTCGCCGTGTGAGTTTAAGGGTAACCCTTGCTTCATCATCTTCCCCAAAAAAGGAAACACCAAGCGAGATGCGGAAACTTCACAAAAATCTCTGCAAAACCTGGTTGTATCTTCATACTGGTTGGTGGTTGACCTACCCCGCTGAAAAATATGAGTTCGTCAGTTGGGATGATTATTCCCAATATATGGAAAATTTATCCAAATGTTCCAAACCACCAACCAGCATATATTGTCATATATCAACATTACATAATCCCCATAATTGGAGTTGTTCTTGGGTATACCTCTGTTATCCTCTGTTTGGTTATTCCCTATAATTCTTGCTTTTATCATATCCCCATAATTTGTTGGTTATACTCATAATCTCACCATAAAATCATGAAAACATTACAATCTTCATCAATATTCCCTATAGTGTCTGGGAAAATGATCATAGTTCCTCTACTAAGTGTGCCCTTGACTGCAACGGCATACCTCAGAACTAGCACCACTGAACAGGCTGCAGAAGGGAATCCAGTCAAATTGAAATCTGTGAAATATTGTGCTTGGAATTGGAATCACATTGACCCAAAATGAATTTTGCACGCTTCCTGGGAATGCAGCACTGATAATTGGAATAATAAAAATAATCAGGCTGGTATAGGCTGGTACATCGTGATTATTTTTGGCTCGGCATGGTTCAGCAGATTGTCGTCGTGTCTCCAAGCTACAGAGCATGTACACTGTAAGGGCAGCTTGGCTGCACGTCTCTGCTGCATGCCTGCGTCAGCCAGTCAGGAATGATACCCGACTCTGAACTTGCAAGTGAAGAATTCCAGGTCCGCAGGCTCAGATCCACAGACCTTAAGCTTAAGGACTTAGTCGTCCTGCAGCCTTCTCAAGAAATTTGCCTGATTCTCCAGGAAATTTGCCACGTCCTCAAGGCGACGCGGTTTTCCGCGGCTGCTCTGTGCCTTGGACGGGGCCGTGGCCACCTTGGCATTGGCAGCGGAGTGCAGAGGCTTCGTCTTCACAGGGTCAGCTGGCTTAGGCTCAGGCTTCTCGCTGCCGGCCTTCTCATCCTCCCCAGAGTCACTGTAGTAACTGCTGCTGCTCTCCTTGCAAGTCTCATCCTTCTTCACCACCGCCTCCTTCTTGACATCTATCTGGGTAAATTATAATATTTCACTATCCTGAATCTTGTGGCCATGAATGGGGATGATTCCCCTAAAATAAACCATGATTTCAGGGTTCGGGAGAACAGTGAGGTCGTGCTCAAATTTACCCAGATATATATATATATAGTTCACACACAAAAAGCATTGCCATTCTGTTGGGATGCTCATCAACTACCAGCAACTATTATAATTTACCCAGATCTATGGTGAGGTCTACTATTCTCTCAGATATGTTCCATGATTTTCCTGTCACCCCCCGCATCTCACCAAGTGCCAGACTGTCTGCCTCCTGGAGCGGATAAGCGCGCTTGGCAGACTTGGGAGCCCTGCTAAGTTGATGCACTGAACTTCAATAACTATAGTTGGTTGATAAAGCTAGATAGCTCAGTTGGTTGATCACCTCAGTAAGTATGGTTTATGATACCTATAACTTCCTATAACTATAGTTGCTATAGTTACTATAGTTACTATAGTTACTATAGTACTATAGTTACTATAGTTGTATAATGGGGTTTATAAACCAACAAACATCACTGGGGGGGCCCACATTGTCAACATGTCAACGTGTTTGACTATAGAAATCCCCAGGAAGTACCATCTGGTTATGACTAACAGTTTGCCATGGAAAGATCCACCATTTTTAATAGGTAAACCCAGGTAAACCATCTATTTCTATGGGCCATCTATATAATGGCTATGTTTGTCATAACCAGAGGGTAATTCTTGATGCTTCTTGATAGTCAAGGTGGCTACCTTGACCAGCAAGTTGGGATGGATTCAACAGTGGGAAGAGACGATCACCAACTCTGCAAGATGACTACCCTCTGGTTATGACTAACATAGCCATGGTGTAGATGGCCCATGGAAATAGATGGTTTACCTGGGTTTACCTATTAAAAATGGTGATTTTCCATGGCAAACTGTTAGTCATAACCAGATGGTAGTATCCCCATGGATCCCATTGATGACTAGCAGGATCCCATTCGTGTAATCCCGTTCCTATTACTATTGGTTTTAAACATATTCAGTCACCATTGTTTGCGATTTTTCAGACGCTTAAATCATAAAATAATCATGGAAAAATCCCATGGTTATTCCATTGTAATCCCATGATTATCCCATTCTCCGTATCATTATTGACAATACCCTCTGGTAATTTAACATAGCTATTGAACATGGCCATTTATAGTGAGTTTTCCCAGTGAAAATGGTGATTTCCAATAGCTATGTTAGTTTACCAGAGGGTAGATGCTACTCACCTATGACTCACGTATGACTTTCGGGACGGTCACGCAGAAAAATTCAGAGACCGCAGCACCCAGGGTTCATAAAATACTTGGGGACTACAGGATGGTGCCCCCCCAGTTTTTTTTAGCTGGTTTAAAAACCCATTTACTATAGTTATATCTACCATAGTTGCCATAGTTAAGCCATATCTTGGGGGCCCCATCCTGTATGAGCTAACCCATCATTACTGACCAACACCAGTATTTCCTGATATGGGATAGGGCCTGTTCGGGGTATTTCTCATATGTGTTCATGGCTCACATGGGTTTGTCGGAAAATGGATTCAAAGGACAATCTGCAGGAAAGCTTTGGATGTGCGGAATATCTCCCCACGAAAATTCCAGGAATTCCCCATTGATTTGTGGTTACACCACCACTCTCAGAGCCGGTGTTTCGGAAAGTAGTAGTCCCAGTTTTCGGAAATGCTGAATGTCCATAATCCGATGAACATTCAATAATTAACGGTTATAGTATGTTGTAGCTATTGTCCCATAAACTGGTGCTGATATAGGTCATAAGAGTTACGTTGATCTGGGCAGTATTCGACCCTCTGTGAATCCTTGATCTTCTTGGCCAGTTTTTGCTGCTCGCTGCATCATGCGCGAGCAGCAGGTTAGAGGATGCCACCATTTATCATCATTTATCCACCAGTAAAGTATCATAGCCATGGTATAGATGGCTCATTGATAGATGATTTACCTTTAAACAAATACAGTAGATTTCCATAGAGCTATGTTGGTTGACGAAAGGGTGTGGCAACAGATAAAAATCATATACCAATAGTTGAAAGTACCGCTTACTGGTTGGTGTTTTCACCTCGCTGAAAAATATTACTCAAATATTACTCAAACCACCAAGCAGATTATCATTGGTGATATACCCACTATATCCCCATGTTAAACGCTTCAATCACCTCAATTTCCAATCATGCCTGTTAGTTTCTTATATAGACACATCATTTCATGTTAGTGAAGCAATATCATACACCACCCATATAAATTGATAGTTGATATGATACCATATTATATACCATATTATAAATTTATATCATATCATTATAAATATGGTATAAGTTATGGCTAAAGATGGTATAATATGGTTAGTGAAACAATATCATGGCTATACCATCCATAAAAATATGGCGAAGTCCTTGGGGATGGTTTATCCGATTTTGCTTTACCCAACAATTTACCATAGCCATTAGCCATTATTCCAATGATCATCTACTAACAATATACTATAATCTCAGGTAATCATATTATACCATATCATAATTAGATGGGAAAATCACCATGATGGTCAAATCACCATTATTGATGGAAAAAAAAACATATTTAACAACATCCATTATTATATTATTAGCCATTATTCCAATGATCCATTGTCCACTCATCTATCGTTGCTGCCATGATGACCCAAAATCTCCTGGATCTTCTTGGCATGCTGCTGCACATCATCCGCCTCAGCGTCACGTTTTAGGCGGAAAATTCATACCTTGACCTTCAAATTCTAGCTCTTGTAGCTATACAAATGGCTAAAAACACCATTTTCTTGAGGGTAAACTATGATAGTAACTATGTTTTTTTTCCTATTTTCATGAGACTAAAGAGCTTTAGGCACTCTTTGGGGGCAGTTGGGCTGATGTTCAACATGTTTATGGCTATGACTCAGGGTTACAGCCCCCATAAGTCGGGATGTAACCCCTTTAATTATGGCCATATACTCGGGGAATACATACTTGGGGGAATCATTATTTTTCCACCATCTAGCCCCATTGTGGTTATAAATGGACACCCAACTTACGGCGGTAATGTCCAGGGTATGCATCAAATTTTTGGGGGTATGTATAATTCGGTGAGTACCAAAACCAGAATACAACCTAACTTTGGATATAAACTTGTTTTAGGTTGTGAAAAGTGAAGTCCTGGTTGAATCACAATCTTTGCTGGTCAGTATCTACAGTTCTTGCTGCTTGAATCACCATGTTTGCTCAGGAACAACCGAAAAAAATTTGCCGGTGAAATCACCATTTTGTCGTGTGAAAACTGTGAAATTCCAATCTGTGTTTGGTGAATCTTATTTTGGCTGGTTCAATCCCTATCATTGATGACAACCCAACTCGTTGGTTTTTCCCATCACGCCCCGAATGGGCAGCGGCACATGATTGGCCTTGCACTTCTCCAACTCCTCGACGAATGATGGATCCGTGGTGAGGGTCTGATCGCGAATCTGAATAAACAGATATGAGATGCAGGATGGTGCCCCCCAGTTACTTGGTTAACAAAAACCCCATTAACTAGCTCGTTATATCTACCATAAACCATAGACTAACCATAGAATTCATAAACAGTTATAAGTTGGTTTATAAACCCCATTGACTAGCTCGTTATATCTACCATAAACCCTAGAATTCATCCACTGATGAGGCAAGTGAACGCTATCGACTGGGGGCCCCATCCTGCGGGGAATGGCATAACAGCCAGTAATTACAATAATAGTTCATGTGTAATAGCCAATATTACCCTGGGTATGGGTACCTACAGGTGATATATATATATATAATCACAAAAATAACAAGTTTGGGATGATCAGGTTATCATATTTATATTATGGATATTACCTATCGTAATTACTAGAGGTTAATGGGATGGGTCATAACACTCGTTATGCATATATTCACTGATGGAAAATATAATAACTGATGGATGATCATATCATAAATTGCGGAATGAGATGGATGATAATCAACATAATAACTGATGATCTAATGTAATAATTGAAATGAGGACTTATTCCAATAATCTGAGAATGGGATGAATAACCTGTTAGAAAAATAGAACAGCAATTTCCGAATGAGATGGGTAATAACGAACATATACGAACATAATAACATGTTAATGGGGAATAGAGCTAATATAGCGATAGTGATGGGCAGTGTGTCTATCGGTTCTATCTTTTGTTAGATTATTGATCCAAATCAATGAGCGGATTTCACCACCGGAACTGGAATACTGCAGACTTAAGTTGATTTATACTTGGCTTAAGGATCTGGTTTATGGTGATTACAATTATTTATACGTATATATATATATACATATGTATAATATAACATCAACAGTGGGGCACCACAAATTGTGGCTTTTCTGGTGGTTTCGAAACTCGTATTTTATTTGGCCCGGTTGTTGTTACCTGGGGATGAAAACCCCATATTTTGCGCAGTAGAAGTTGGGATGTTCCACCTTTGACCCTCAAAACACCCACAGAGATGGTTCAAAGTACCAAACTCGTGAAGTATCCTCCAGTAAGTTAACATAGAAATCAGAAAACCCATGAAAATCCAACATTTCTAGATCAGCATCCTTTAATTTACCAAGTTGTGTACCTGGCTTTTTTGGTGCTTCGAACCCATATTTGGTTTACCGAAATCTGTCTGAACATAGGGTGCCCCAAATTCTGATGTCAAGAAAGTTGTGTCATATTGTGATATAAAAAGTACATATGAGCATTATATATGGCCAATCCTAGGTACCCTGCCAATATATTGCCAACTACCATATATATATATATCTATATATATGTATAGCAAACACCCGAGAAGATGCCGGGAAGGGTATAGATGATGTCTTCCCAACTGTTCTATCTATTTGAAGGTTGCTAAGCCTGCCATGGTTACAACATGGTATATGGGTTATGGTCATCCCATATTGAGAACCCCAACATCATGGGTTTTTTTAAACCCCTATGAAGGGGTATTACCATGCCCCAATACAGGTATATCATGGCATATCATCCAACTTACATTCCAATTTCACCACCAAGATCCATATAACATCATATCATATCCCATTAAATCCATCAAATCCCCATAAAATATATACATGGTGCAACAACAAAAAATTACCAATAGACCCTTTTTCATGACATTAAACAGTAAATCCCATATAATATATTTTCATGACATTAAACAGTAAATCCCATATAATATATATTATATAGTAATATATAATATACCTATTATTAAATCCAGTATATCCCATATAATATATATATATAATATAAATATATATGTTGCAACATGTTGCAACATGGCCAGCTAGGCAGAGACGTCTCCTGTTGCAGGTCGCTGAGCTTCAAGGACAGCTTCCCTTGTGTGGCCTTCTCCTGTCGGAGATCCGCTGCATGGGGCCTCAGGGCCTAGGGGGGTTCCCAAAATGGATCGTTTCTAAGGGAAAATCATATTAAAACCATTAGAAATGATTTATAAATGGTTATATAAATGTATATATCATTGGGGATGGTTTTTAACCTCACATTTTTTAATGGATGATTTATAAAACCATATATGGTTCCAGTGTCCTAAGTCATTTTTGGCTACCCAAGCTCGCTGGATGATCTGGGGCTACGCCCATTTCAGGCAACCTCCCAGCCATTTCGGGACGCCCTTCTTTGAGATAGGCCCGTCTACTGGGTCAGGGATGGGAGTCCACACGGGGTTTCTACAAAATGGGACACCCTTAAAGATGGTAAACATAGCACCCATTTTTAAATGCCGATGACTAGAGGATAGTTTATGGCAGGTGAATCCCAAAGAAGTTCTTTGGCTCCAAAGATGGATCCAATTGGTGAGAGGAGGTGAGACTACCTGGAAAGCCAGGTGTCCTATTCTTTTGGCAACTACGCCACTTGACGGATACGCCAGGTTGACGCATGGAAAACAAACCACTATTGCACAGATTTCAGCATAAAGTTCATCATTTTGAACGCCAGGTTGCCGTTTTTGTTGTTTGATTCTTGAAAGTTGCATGGAAAACTGCCACTCTATCTAAAAACTGCCTTAAAACATAGGACACTTTGGCGTTCCAGGTAAGTATTTTAAAGAACCATGGACTATGGTCATCGCCTTCAAGGCATATGGCATATGTTATTTAACATAGCAGAAAATCATTATCTCTAAGAGCTACATCAATGTAAATCACCTATAATATGTATATATATATATATATTTATTTATTATACATGTACTACATATACATGATTATACATGGGTGACTTTCCATAGCTATGTTAAACTACCCGAGGGTAAATCCTTGTTAAGCGGGATGAATAGAATTTCCATAAAATGTCACCTTTCTCGCAACCGGCAAGAGGAATCCAGAGGCATGGGAAGCACATTCATCCCCTTATATATTATAAGAACTAAAACTAAAACCACCCGGTTTTGTTCATGGTATAATAGTGGAATGAAAAAACATGTCAACCCGCCGGGGTTCAACCCGCATATCAAGTACCATACGCCGTATAACTTAGCAATGTCCTTTTTTTTGGGCGATCCATGGTCAGTCCAAATGATCCTCAATGCTCATTGATTATTCCATTTCTGTCAGTTCATCCCAATGGGTGCTGGTAAATATCATAGAATTGGATGATGGGAAAATTTACAGGAAAGCCCTATATTTGATGGTCAAAACCCATGGGTTTCCTGTAGATTTTCCCTTAAACCAATCCAATGAAAATAGCATCATTTTTGTTTGTTGAAATCCTGTGTCCCTTTGTTGATTTTATCTTACAGTTTCTATGGGTCCAAATCATCATTCCCGCAGCATCAATTCGCACGTTTGCTTGCCAACTGTCCATTTTGGCTATGTAAATGCTGTGTAATCTGGGTAAATTATAATATTTCACTAACCTGAATTAAGGCCATTTGGGGATGATTTCCCTTACTAACCATGATTTCCAGTGAGGTCGTAGTGAGGTCGTTATAATTTACCCAGATGTAATTCATCTTGATTCACCTTCAAAATCATGTGAATTCACCATTTTTTTTTATGATCTCCAGATGTTCGTGTCAGATACCCTCTGGTAAACGTTAACAACAAACTATGGAAAATCACGATTTTCAATGGGTAGTCATCCACTATTTCGACTGGGCCATGTTCAATAGCAAACTGTTAGTCATTACCAGGCCGGGTCACTATTAACCATTATTAACTATAGACTATCCATATATTAACCATTATTAACCATTAACCATAGATTAACCATATATTACCAGAGGGTAAATCACCATTAATCATCATCAATCTCCCCAAATCTCCAGAACCGCCTCTTCCAAGCTTTGGAGCTGCAAGGCCTTCTCCTGCTGCACTGGATGATCTCATCCACAATCACCGGTTGGGCGACCAATGATAAACGATGATGACTTGTCAAAGTACATGAGATCATCCTTGAATAATCATAATATATAAGTTATTTTAAAGTATATGATCATAAGTATACTTATCATCTTTGAATATGTTAAGGGAATAGTACATTTATAATAAATAATGAGATTCATGATTACAATCATCGGATTCGTGCAATAATAGTTCGTACAATAATAAATTATTTATATTTATTTATAGGATTAGTACAATATGTTCTGGGATTTCCCATGATTGAGACTGTATGAGAATATGATAAGTATACTGATGATCAAAATTAAGGCGATGATAATCCCATCCTCTAGTAATTTTGAGACACCCCCGTTCTAATCGTTTTATGGTCCCAAATATGTGGTTTCATCGCCTGTGTTTAATGCGAGCAGGGCCATGGTTTTGTAGGGGATTTATAGATATGGGTATGGATCAATACCTATTAATACCATTTTTAGGGGAATGAACATCCATTTACCAGCTATTTTGATGTTCACCAGGGGTACAAGGTTTTGACACACTGCCATATTCGGCGGAATACTAGGGGGAAGGGATTATAACTGGGATGCAGAGCGATATTAGTGAGATGTACCCCCGCCAAGTACCAGCCAGGACTCACTGATTCTGGCAACAGGTAAATACCCTCTGGTAATTTAACAGTTTGCTATTGAAAATGGCCATAGAAATAGTGGATTTACGCATTGAAAATAGTGATTTTCCATAGTTATGTTAGTTTACCAGAGGGTAAGTGCTTTGAAACTGGAGTGAATTTCCCCACTTCAAAATAGGATGACCAGGTTAGAGTACGTATAAAAAAACCGGGGTTTCGAATCGCTTACGTCTAGCCGGGATAGGCCATGGAGTTAGTTAACAAATTAATCAGTGAGCAGTGTAAAATAAATCTCTCTATCATTCCATTTAATCCTGGTAAACTAACATAGCTATTGACAATGGCCATTTATAGTGAGTTTTCCCATTAAAAATTGTGATTTTCCATAGTTATGTTAGTTTACCAGAGGGTAATCCTGGTTGGTTAAGAACGGGATTCCTCTATTTGATTCTTATAATCCCCAATGACTATGAAGGGTAGTTGTTGATCCCCGAACCAATCATCAACCAACAGGGATTGAGCAGCCACTTAGCCTTTTGTATACAACCCAGTAATAACCCTCAGGTCATCAAACGTTGCGATTGAAAATCCACCATTTATATGTATATCATGTTTCCCCTTAAAACCTACATTTCTAGAGGATTGTCCATTGCCACGTCCATGGCCCATCTAAGCAGTACTTAGCCCAAGTACTGCTTGAAGGGAAGTCCCTAAAAAGTATTCAAAAGTGGTACCTATTGTCCCTTGTGAAAACCCAAGTGGCTGTTTTTGCTAACTCTATAAATTGCCATATAGAGGTTTCCTAAAATAGGTGTACCCCTAGTTATCATCCACTTATAGATGGATTTTCTATGAAATAAACCCTCCAGCTATTGGGTACCTAATTTTATGGAAAACCACCGTTTATGGAAAACCCCCATATAATGTGGGTAAATTTTGATATTTCACTAACCTGAATTAAGGCCAATCGGGGATGATTCCCCTTATTAACCATGATTCTAGTGAGGTCGCAGTGAGGTCGTTATAGTTTACCCAGATATAATCCCATTGCAAGAAAAAACAAAGAAGCCAAATTTCTTGTCCCAACATCTTGGTTCTAGTCCCTGAACTTGATAGTCCTCTTGCTTCAAAAATCCCACAAGAAATCTACATCCACCACTTTTTGTCAGTCCTGGTCTTTAGTGGGAATTTGAATGTTCAAAATAGTTCAAAATAATCAAGAAACAAAGGATACAAACCAACACTAAACCTACTCATTCCATATCATAATCAAATAACCAACTACGACAATCATACTCTAACCATGGTTGTGTAGCACTTATAGCACCCAAAAAAACATGATGCAGCAAAGTCAAATCATATCCAACCTCTTCTGCATCGTTTTGGTGGTTGCTGCAGTTACTGCAGATATACTGAGTCAACCTCCGATGGGTAATTAAGAAACATTGGCTAAATACCCGTAATTCAGTTTATTTTGATCTAATTCCCCATATAAATGGCGTAGTTGGCACCCAATAAAGGTCTTGAGGATTAAATCACCTTCACTTGGCTGGGTTCTAAATGCATCATTATGTATTATATATATATAGATACTTATAATATATATATACATACATATTTTATTATACCAAGGGAATTTCGCATTATATCCACAATCTAAATCCTTATTTTTGATGGTTAAATCTCCGTGTCTGATGGTTAAATCATCACTGTTCGCCATTTTTGATGTTTGAAATCCCACCGAAAAAACCAATCAATCCGATCAATCAGAAGTTTTTATAGTCATATGGCAGTGTGTCAAAACCTTGTACCCCTGGTGAACATCAAAATAGCTGGTAAATGGATGTTCATCCCACTAAAAATGGTATTAATAGGTATTGATCCATAGCCATATAAATCTCCATGTTCGATTGTTGCGTCCCCATCCAACAAAAAACACTCCTATCTCCATGACCAGTCAACCTTTTCAACGGAGCCATCTCTTTTGCCTTCTCCAATGCCGCGATCTTCTCTTCTGCTGTCGCCTTCTCCTGACCATTTCATTCCCAGATGCTCCATGGTGCTGGAATATGAATCCCAACATTTGCCCAAAAAATCACCCAGTTTTGTAGCTAAATATACCAGCACCATGGAGCATATGGGATTGTTGAAACATGTTGAGAGATGTTGAAACCATGAATTATATGAATTGATGGTGGCTGAGAGATTCAAGCTACAACCATATAACTCATCAAACTATACTTGTGCAACAGTTGCTCATCACTTGTCCAATGTGTTGGGTGTTAGGTACCTGAGCTTTTCATTCATGTTCATTGTATTGCTTGGTATCAGGCGATCCAATTCTGATTGCATATCCCCTGCACATGTGGGACATTGCAAGTAGTTCCATTTTGTGCCTGGCTTGACCAGGACACACGTCTCCTGGTGAACTCTGGTAGAGCTCGAAAGCACCACAACTGGGGTGTAAACTTTGGCTTCACTCATCCCTTTGCGCTTTGCCAGCAATGGTCGTAGACCCTCCGAGTTTGTTGCTTTGGGCAAACCAAAAAAAAAAAAACACGGATTTGGATCTTCGAGCCTCGCGATCACTGGCTGAAAGATTTTTGGAGGCAACGGATATCTGCCAGGTTGGGGCTTGGGACCAGAAGTGCGCTGCCAAAACTGGGCCGAGGCTTCCTGATGGGTGCCCATGGCCTCATCAGGAAAGGCCGCCCTCGGCCTTTGAAAGTCCTCGGCCAGTCATGGAAATCCGCAAGTCCTCTTCCATCTCCACTCTGCCGTGACGTTCATGAGGATTGAGAAGCCTGAAACTAGGGGGATTCAACTGATTTAAATCATCATTAAGGGTGACCCGTGACCCCGCATTCGAATGCCTGGATGTTTTGAAGGTGTCTTAATGTTTCTAAAACACCGCTAATGAGGATATGGGGATATGGGTTTATGATGGTTTATGGATAGGTCGAATATAAACCACCAACAACCAGGTAGTTGAATAAGCTTATTATATCTAAAGATGGTCAATATCATTGCTTAACATTCCTTAAGCATATGATCTATAGATGGCTATTGGATATACGTGCTTTGCAACGACAAGCCCAGGTTCCCTTCATGGGCCTTGGGGCCTTCAGAAACCGATCGGCGACAGAGGCTCCCCAGTGTGCAAGTTAGGATTGTGCATATACTATCTATCTGCCTGAGTCTATGTTTTAGCTAAATCTAATTTATGTATATACATATTATTATTAATTACTATTATTTTCATAATTACTTTTGTTTTTATGATTCTTATTATTGTTATTTTTGTTATTGTTATTATTAATATTATTATGTATGGCGCATACATATATATATATACATACTATTATTATTATTAGCATTATTATTATTACTATTATTATTATATTATAATATATATATATGTGTGTGTGCGTGTCTCTCCTGGGAAATCCACCATTAATCTAAAGAGAACATGTTCCATCCTGGTAGTTGATCTCACAGGAAATCCGGGCCTGCTGCAGCACTTCCGAAGCGGACCTGACATTTCAAGGCAAAGCCGCAAAGCCCACGGGCCCACGGCGAGTTCCATGAATTACCCATTGAAAATGGTGAGTTTCCACAGCGAACTGTGAAAAAGTATCAAAAGGGTATGATATGATGATATATGATGATATGATTAATTTTGCGCAAATGATTGCATATATCTATCATGTACTGTAAGAACTTCTTGGGGCATATTGATGCATATTGCATTATATATTGATTAGTATAGACAAGTCGTATACCTTCCCTTTTATTAACCTCATGACTCATACTAGGTACCCTACCAAAAATATATAGTTTTGAGCTGGTTGGGTTAATCTATGTTAATCTATTCATCCCATTTCTGGATGGCTAAGTCCTGATAGATCTGATACTGAAATCCCTATCCTTTAATATGTTTCAATGGTTAAACATGGTTAAACCATATTGATTCCATCTAAATCCCGAAGTACCACAAAGCCCTGGGCCTAGACTCCTAGACCTTCGGTGGTACACCAAGCCCTCTGCTGGCTTCATCCTATGCTTAGTAGGTGGGTCATGACCCCAGTTGTAACTTGATTAACCTTCCCAGCAACAAAATCAGGGATGACACCTACGATTCGTGGGATGAACCATTTCCTGCAAAATTCCGGCTATATAATTCCATTAAATACCAATGTCCAATTGTGGCGTTTAAAATCATGGAAATTGTCTAATTGTCCAATTTTTCCCAGATAAAAAGTCCCTAAATATCCCTAAATCCCTATCCATAATGGTAGGACGAAATCCTAATCCCCATATTTATTCTTCTGGTCATTTATCTTTGATAATCATTAAGGAACATCTCTATCTTAAAATCCTCATCATCAGAATCTCATCAGAAAATCATCTCATAATCCCACCTGAAACACGTTTTTCCACGTTTTTGATGCGTTGTTTCCCCGTTTGGTGCTTCAAATTCCCATGTGTTCTAACGAGTCGCCATCGCCGCGCCGATGCCAAGGCACGTCACCGAGGAGACCTTGGCCAAGAGATCCTTCACTTGTGACTGCGTCACCGCCAACGCCTACGAGCCAAAAAGGACCGGAGGTGAACTCCAATTCATTGCGAATGAACATATGTTGTGAACATGAATTTCCTAATGAACATATATATTTATTTTATGGGATTTTAATGAATTGGGGAAAGAACATAAATATCTCAAATTGGCGAACATTCATAGTACTATCATTGTACTGACTATTAGCTATTATTAATACACAGCGAAATATTATGATAATTCTTACAATGTATATACTCATAATTAATGATCATTGTCAAGTCTCATGATTATTGTTATTACGACTATCGTCATGTTTGTAGTGCTGAATATAGTACTTACAGTAACAATGAATAGTAATACAATAACATTGATATGAATTATGATCTACTACTCATGATAAATGATCATTACTACTCTTAGTAAACATATTTGAAATTGATTAGACTACTCATCGTGCCAAAACTCAATGAATTATCTATGAGTAAACATATTTGAAATTGATTAGACTACTCATCGTGCCAAAACTCAATGAATTATCTGAAGAAACCAAGTCAAGTGAATTAAATTCGACTACCATCTGGTTATGACTAACATAGCCATGGAAATTCCATCATAAAATCATCTATTTCTATGGGCCATCTATTCCATGGCTATGTTAGTCATAACCAGACGGTAAAATGGTTGGTTCATTGGCTAAGGATCTAAAATTCTGCTTATGAAAAAACCTTTCCGGGCCTTGGACGTTTTTGGGTGATGTGAAAGAGAACGAGAGCAGAACACGAGGTTTATAGATTTTTATTCACTTTATAAAAATTATTGGTTCTATAATGAATAAACGTTTATAAACGCCAATAACTATAGATTTTATAAACGTTTATTTTTGAATTGTTCTTGGTTACTGGAAATTGTTTTACTTGACCATAATCCATCAAACCCTGGTGCCAAACCCTGTATAAATGGGATCTTGATGGGATTGTAACCGCCAAAAATTGGAAACATGGTGGTTTAATGGGGTTATAGTATTGGTTTTACCAAAAGGAATTGACTCATCCCACTTAAATCCTACGTTTTTGTGGTAGGACCGTGTGAAAAATAACGGTCAAAACGTATCAGTCGTCGGATCCACCAAGCAGCTCCGCGGCTCAAACCAGATTGGATGAATCTACAGGTATTCAAGTAAGCTAAGCCAGTAATGGACTGAGAAAAATCCTCAGTTAATGATGGTTAATGGTGATTAATGGTGGTTAATGGCGATTAATGATGGTTAATTATGGTTATTATATGGTTGATAATGATTAATAATCTGGTTGGTGGTTGAGCCCTACCCCTCTGAAAAATATGAGTTCGTCAGTTGGGATTATGAAATTCCCAATATATGGAAAATAATCAAAATGTTCCAAACCACCAATCAGATATGTACGTATATGTGTAGGATATCTTACTGGGTACTTCGCCGACGATACGATAGATAACTAAGTTACTCACTGGCATGGTCATTCAATAATTTGTTTTGCATCTCTGATCTTGGATACTCTGTAAGAAATAAACTATCCGTTGTGTCCACAATGTAATTCTGCAAAAAAAACTGTTTCTCTGAAAAACTAGACGCCAGTTGATCATCACAACTTTGGCAGTTTCCTTCATGTTTCATCATTTTTCGACAAACCCACATCTCTTCACCATCAGTCCGTTTCCCGACGCGCAAAATCTTCCCGCCTCGTTCAAGCCCACGCTCTTTTGCCTGGCAAGGCTGGCAGGACCGATCTGTGGAAGTCCCACCAGTTGAGGGAGGTGGTAGTTCGTTATGTAGGTATATAGTGGTGTTAATTATATATATATATACCTTGACCCTCAAGTGGTACGTAAATTTCTGCTCGGGGAAAATGCCAACAAAAAAGATCCGGATTGCAAAATGCATATGTTGAAGTGAAAAAATGCTCGAGATTAAAAAAAACGCTCGATAGATCTATGAAGGGTTTTACTTCCCCAAAAAATCCTGCAGCAGCACCTGTGCGTCCTCTCCGACTGCGCTGGCAACTTTGTGGCCAATTTTTTCTGCGACTTGGCTTGTCTGGCTTAGCTGTAGCAGTTGATTTTTTTCCACTGCCGCTTACATTGCATTAAAGCAGTTTGCAAGACACGGAGGGGCATGTTGAAACTGTGAGTTCTCCGTGCAATTCGGCACGCCCGTCCTACGAAATCTTCATCCGACCAGGTTGAAAACGATAAGGGATTGAAGATCCACCGTAAGCCTTTCATAACTTGAATCTCCATGTCGCGCCTAGGATGGATGGATGGGGTCAAGAAAGGTAATAAATGTCGCTATCACACTTACGCGCGCCCCCATATGGTTTGCCCAAAGCAAGCTAACAATGCAGAAAGGGCGCACAATGTGCTGCTGCAAGTACGCTTTCGGACGGATCTTGTACATTTTAGGCCAGCCACATTCCTTCGACATAGATGCCAGGGTGCCGAAGCCTTCCTGACTGGTTGAAATGTTCACCGTAAGATATAGCAGTGAGAGAGAGAGAGAGAGAGAGAAAGACAGAAAGAAAGACAGGAAGGAAGGAAGGAAGGAAGGAAGGAAGAAAAAGAGAAAGAGAAAGATCGAGGTAAACAAACAAGGAAAGAAGAAAGCAACATAAGGAAAGAAAGTGGGAAACGGAGAGAAGTAAAGAGAGAAAGAGAAGAAAGAACTAATGAAAGACAGAAAGAAAGAAAGAAAGAAAGAAAGACACATATAAAAAGAAAGAACCAAAAAGAAAGAGAAAGAAATATAGAAGAGAAAAAAAACAGACAGATAAAGAACATAACAAAGAAAGAGCGAGAGAGAGAGAGAGAAAGAAAGAAAGGTAAAAAGATAAAAAAGAAAAATATAGAAAAAAGAAAAAGAGAAAACGAGAGAAAGAGAAAACATAGAGAGAGAGAGAGATAGATCAAGACACGAGATCAACAACCAAGGCAGAGTGAAGAAAAAACAGTTGAAACAAAACAGAGTCGTAGAGGGAAGAGGCACAAGCCGCCAAAGCAAAAAAACACCTCTAATGTACGACCAGGAACTGTCATTTTCCAGCCACTTGCAACTGCAGCGGCCGCTTGCTGATGCCGAATCCAGACACCGGAGGAGTGCAAAGTTCTGAAGAATATATTGGTGTGCTTGAGGGTCCATTGCAAAACTGAAAGTATGGCTTCGTACTGTGAGTCCTAGAGCTGTTTAAAACCATTGAAGAAAAATTGTTTTGAATGCAAATTCCTCGAGCAGAAATTTATGTACCACTTGAAGGTCCAGGTGCTAAGGGGGTATATGATAAACAAAAGCTAACAAAATAGACCAATATCCATAAAACATCACCTGAGGGTCAACTGAAGCGTTCTCAAGCTCTTTCTCTAGCCAGCGACAAACCAGGGTAGCATCATGTGCTTTGCCACATCCCGTAGGAAATTTGCTCCAGTTCCTGGCAAAACCAGGAAATATCAGCACTTGATTTTGTGATAAAGAAGCTCCCTTTGTCGGGGTTATGGTAGCACCCATGCATTAATAAGTCAAGTGGCTGTCCCATTTTAAACACCTTCTGGTTGAAACCAGTCAGACTTGTGGAATGTTTGGTCTTTGCGCACCATTGTCGAAAGGAAGCAAAGGCAGTTTCCATACGAGTTCCCATACCTCTCCCACTCCACACTTTCATTTTGGCACATAAGACAACGCTTGAAGCCGCGAAATCTTTGCCATAACCATATGCAAAAATATGCATTTGATCACAGCGCGCACGATGTGGGGCATCAAGACCCACAACAGACCGCAGAGTAGTACCCTGATTGGGTTTGAAAGGGTTGGGGCCCTCTGTCGACCACCACTGCCGGATAGGGTTCGTCACCCCGAAGTTCCACCAATCCTCGGCTGTGTTGATTTTCTAGAAGAATATATTTCTTTAAATTAATGGGGGAAAGCTGGAAAATAATTGGGATTGAATCCAAACAGGTTAGTTAACTCATACAAGGAACAACACTTGGGCAGAGGTGACACAACCTTTTCGAGGTGTAGCCCGGTATCAAACCAAATGCTTTTCGAATATAGGGCCAATCGCCCTTGCCACCTATGCAAGCTGCATAGATTGTAGTTTGAGCCGCCTCAACCCAAAGACCTGAGGTGAAGAGTTCATTGAGATCTTCCGCCATGCCTCGATGCAGTTCATCCAGGCTGCTTGGTGTGTAAGAGGTGCTGGCGATAGCTGTGTACATGAAACGCGTGGTAAAGGTATGCCTAGGCGAGGCCCCCAGGAGATTTAAAAAACGTATACTTTTCCATTTAAACCACATAAGCTGCTTCCCAAACAAAAACCAAAATAGCCATTGGGTTGAGGTACCCACTTAAGTTCGTTACCTTTGGGCCTTTGTAGGTGATGACTGGGCAGAAATTCTCTATGAGTGTTGGGTTTTTGTTTTTGCCCCTTCCTTCATCGCCATGCACAGTGAACGGCAAGAAGAACTTTCTCTTCTCAGGGTCCAGGTCAAAAATGGGGTGACTAGGGTCATATTTTTGGTAGCGGTCCCAGAATTGACGAAACTCTTGTTGCCATAGGTGTGTGGCTGTAGCTTCATGCCCACACAACACAAGTTTCCCACCATGCTTCAGAGCGCAACGAAGCCATTGACTAAAATAGATCACTGGCCAATCAACGGTCTTCTTTTTCACTTTGGCGCCCTGCACCACACGGACTGGGCACTTGCAATAGCTGATCTTGATGTCAAGTTGACGACCAGCCTGTTCCAACATGTTGTGTAGGTTTCGACGTTGGTTTTTCTCATGCCTGTCATTGCGGCTGCATTTGGCCAAGCGATTCACATGAGGATCAACAATACCTTGGCTAGCAATGAGCCCCCTGCCCCAAGAATACTTAGAAAAATCAGAAACCCAATGGTGCAAAGTAACTCTAACCACTATTGCATTTAAGCTACCATACCGCTTGAATTTCCGATCAGCAGCGACAGCGATTCTACACACCCTCCTTGCTGAGTCCACCTGGGATGAGGCGATTGAAAAATATGAACTAGATTCGAGCTCGCAAGATGGGGATTCCATACCAAATACCCCTCCCCCATGTCAACCCCCATGCCAAGGGACTCCATCCTCGAAGGCTGTCAGCAATTCATTTTCCAATGGGTCATCGGTAGAAGAGCCTCACAGGTTCCAAATAGGGCAGGAACAGCTCATGCTTCCCCAATGGTTTTGGAGTGTTTTGGCAACAGGTTCCTTATAATAGTTTTGGCAACGTATGCTCCTTATAGTGGGCAAACTTAAAAACCGAATCCTCGCGCCAATCTGAGGTTCCAACATTGGCTCGGAGAATGGCCGCCGTCATCGCTGCACGATGATGAACCTGCGCGGGGCAGAGGACATGCAAGGGATGGGTCATCAAAATTGAAAGTCCTTAGGCTAGTTTTTTTTTACAGGTCCCTGTCGCTCAAAGCTCACTTTTTTTCGGCAACCCCAGCCGTTGTCAAGATATTTCAAAGCTAGTGTGCGCAAGTCTGGCGAGCACAAGCTGCCATGACTATCGTCGCTCATCACATGGTTTTTCATGTTTTTCAAAAGTTCTCAGCTCCCTATATCTACTCAGCTGCCTTACGGCGCCTCTTTCGCTCACCCTGATCAGCCTCTGCTGCCTTTGGCGGCTTGGCCTTGGGCTTGGTGGCAGGAGTCGTCGACGAAGACGGTGCAGATTTCACGTTCCTTGGCGCCAGAGCTTCGGAGAAATGTTGGCACATATCAGGTGATAATCAGAGGGACAGGGGGGTATATTATACAGTACACATTTGACCTATATATTATATAACCTTAAATTTTGCTAAGCCACTTGGCTCGCTGTATGGAATTGGCCAAGCTGACATCAAGCCGAGTGCATTTGATGTACAAAGCACGAAGAGCATCTTTCACTTCACTGCAGGGAGGCTGCATGGCTTGGATCCAACTCTTTTACTGGGATTCTGGGGATCGCATAAAATGTTTTTTTTTTAAACCCTGGTGATATGACAAATGTTTGCCCACAAGTGAATTATCATCCAGGCCTTTCTTTGGATTGTCCCGAGATGACATCAGCCTGAATCTTCGTCAAATCGGTGTAGGTGCCATTCATCTCCTTGAGTGTTGTGACAATGACCGTCGAAATCCTGAAAGCACGGAAAACCCACACACTGAAGAATCCATAGTGCCAAAGGGCAGCCTTCAGAAACTGAAGCAGTTCATAGACAAGAAACGATTGGGCTCGGTCAGAGGGATTCTTCTTCAATTTCTCCTCAAGACAAAACTCATGATTTTTGGGATGGGGATTTGACAAATAAATGTTAACCACTGGACGGCTGGACTGATTGAGATCAAATAATCCCTTCCTCCTAATACTAAACGTCCCCCTAATACTAAAAACAGGCATCCATCTCCAATTTCCGAAAATTTCAGTTTGGCCAATTTGACTTTTAATTGATCCCCTTTAAAAAACAATTCAAAAATCAACCTACCATTTGTGGGTTCTCCCCCTAATACTAAAAACTAATTCATCCCGGGGTGTTTAGTATTAGGGGGGCTAGTTTTTAGTATTAAGGGTTTTAATTTAGTATTAGGGGTAAGCTTCGAACTGCCATTTTTGGCAATATTTTAATTGCGTTATATAAGGAAATTTAATTGATTTTGAGATCGGAAAAAATAGTTTTTAGTATTAAGGGTTTTAATTTAGTATTAGGGGTAAGCTTCGAACTGCCATTTTTGGCAATATTTTAATTGCGTTATATAAGGAAATTTAATTGATTTTGAGATCGGAAAAAATAGTTTTTAGTATTAAGGGTTTTAATTTAGTATTAGGGGTAAGCTTCGAACTGCCATTTTTGGCAATATTTTAATTGCGTTATATAAAGAAATTTAATTGATCTTGAGATCGGAAAAAATAGTTTTTAGTATTAAGGGTTTTAATTTAGTATTAGGGGTAAGCTTCGAACTGCCATTTTTGGCAATATTTTAATTGCGTTATATAAGGAAATTTAATTGATTTTGAGATCGGAAAAAATAGTTTTTAGTATTAAGGGTTTTAATTTAGTATTAGGGGTAAGCTTCGAACTGCCATTCTTGGCAATATTTTAATTGCGTTATATAAGGAAATTTAATTAATTAATTAACATGACTTCGATTTGGTTCCCTAATAATAAATACCCCCCTAATACTAAAAACTACCTGCCGTGTTTTGTATTAGGGGGGGGGGTTTAGTATTAGGAGGAAGGGATTATCCAGACTGTAAAAGTGAAAAGGAAGCAGTTCCTGCGTCTCTTCACCCATATCGATCTTCTTCCCCAAAGTGGCAACGTACTGAGGCAGCAAAGACGACAACGTTACATTCTGGCTGATCGTTGGGAAGTTCAGCCTCAAGGAGCAACCCGTGCGCTATCAAAGGGTGATGGTGTACCATGGTAAGATTCGAGGAGAAATGCTGCCTAAGTACTTGAAGCTTCCACATTTGTTCAGCATCTCCGCTTGAGGGGCTTCATCAAGTGCTTTTTGGGCTGCTGCGATGTCAGCAGGATCCGGGTTCAGTCCAAAATCGCTCGGGATATCCATGGTGGAATCCGAGACCTGAGATAAAATCTAGAGTGCTGGAAGTTAATTTCTTGGGTTGGAAGTCTGACAACCTTTGCATTCTATTGAAATTAAGCGACTTCGGTTTCAAACCTGGTGTTGGTTTTCATCTTGGCAGCGGTCCGGTTCTTCAAGTTGAACGTCTCAGTGACGGTAAGACGTGCCTCCTCTGCCCCGTGCACCGGGTGCTTCCGGAAACATCCGGGCTGTGTCTGTGACCAAGCAAAGGAGTTGTCGGCCATGTCCCTTGGATCTTTGGGACATGGAGGAGTCATACTTTAGAAAAGAAAGATTGTTGGTGAATGTTGTATGATATATTTTTGTCCACGTTAAGTTGAAATAACGTGCAAACAAAGGTCTGTGTGTAATTGAACTGCGTCATGAGTTGGCTCTTTGTGTACCAGCCCCCTCCCTGGTCTTTGTCCAGCTGTTCCAGCTGCTCTCGTTCGATATCCACTTCCATCTTGGCCGTGGACCCACCGTTGGCCCGCAACATGTCAAGTAGCTTCTGACCTGAGGACTGATGAGAAAGCATATTGGGACTTAATTCCAAGTGCAACCCTGTAAGCTGGGCCCACCTGAGATTATGTTGGCATAAGACTTAAGGCAAAAGACGTCCCTCCTTTGTCTTGTACATCTTAAGGACATCTTCAGAAGCTTTGATCACCCTTCCATCTTCAGCACAGTGACGACGTAGCCTCAGAGAACGTTGGAGATATTAAAGATACTTGATAAACATTGAAAAGGAATTGTTACCCGTTACCCCGATGACAGTGACATTCTTTAGCATGCAAAGTTGGGCCTAGTAACACCCAATAGTACTTGTCCGGCTTGTTACCAGTCTTCTTCTCCACAAGGTCTTGTTGGGGTTCAAGTTCACCCTCTGCACTAGTGAGATCTTCGGTTGGAACTGGTGGAGTGGCTGTTGGTACACCAATCCCCTCTGACCCACTTGCCTTTCCTGACGATGTCATAAAGGTCAAAGCAGCTTTGCGTTCTGATTCGTCCAAACCCTGCAGTTCAGTCAAGCCGTCAAGAGTTTCGGGGCGGGCTTTCTGAAGGTACTGGAAGAAAGGTCTGGCCGCAAGGAATGCTTTCAAAGCTTTCTTGGCTGAAACCATATCATCACCATCAATCTCTAGAAACTCTGCTCCTTGAATTGATTCCTCCAGGTCTCTGTCCAAGTTTCGAGGCTTGACCTCTTCCACGGTGCTGGGAGTTTTTTCTGGTTCCAACGGGCTTGGGGCTGGGGTATCCCTGGGCTGAGCGTCGGGGTACTTCGCTTGTAACTCTGCGTGGGTCATGTGCGGTGTGTCCACAACCACTTCAACCCCTGGAGAGTCCCAGCCCCCATTGATGGTCAAAGGGTCAGCTGCGGGGATAGTATCCAACTCAGTGCTTTTGGTCAAAGCCGTGTGTGGCTCCCCAGCCACAAATGCACCCGTAGCTGAAGCCACTACAGGCTGTCCTGTCACAAAGGAACGAATTGTATATAATCATAAAGAGTGTCGACCAATGTTTTCCAACTTGAATTGAAGTTACCAAAGGTTTTCCAACCAGAAGGTCACATGAGGGGCACCCACCCATCCTGGAACGACTGGGCTCGCATCTCCCGCAGGAGCAGCATCCTGACCTTGAAGCTGGCGATGGAGTTGCTCCAACCTCTTCATTGAAGCCTGGGCTTGTGGATAGTGAAGCGTCTGGGTTGGGACCAAAAAGGTTTACGGTTGTACCTTTCAAAAAATGCAACTAGTGACCAACGAATAAAGTTTGAGGTCAGATTTGCAGATTCCATCATAGAAAAAATGGTAATTCGTAGGAATCCCTTCAAAACAAGTATGGTGTGTAGTGCAGCTGAAAAGCTTTGATTTCCAAGTCAACATCTACAGTCTCTTCCACTGTAGTCAATCCCCTCTCCAAGTGAGGAACCCCCGCCATGAAGGTTGACAGGGACCGCAGGCTAGTCTGGCTAGACATGGGAAACACTTGGACCAAAAAGACTGGACAATGTATACAATTTCAAAAAAGGTCCGTTTGGAAAACACGAGTGGTACCTTTTTTTAATTTGCGCTCGTTTGCGCGAATTTGCGCTCGTTTTGCGCAAATTTGCGCTCGTTTTGCGCCTTGTTTGCCGCTCTCCAAACTGTGTTTTCAAAAAACGCTCGATTGGTAATTGGCAATAGCCAAAAAAGTTTCGTTTGTTTCAAGTCTATGGAATACACTGCCCTCGGTCTATCAGCCAGAAGTTTTATTTTCCCCAAAGCAAGACTCAAATCTTGTCAGCTAATTGCAATTTGCATCCTGCATCGGGTCCATCAACTCGATGCCACCAGAGATTTCGAGCATCATGACGAGGATACCTTGGACAAACTGAAAAAGAACTGCTCAGAGTTATTCGGGGTTACTTTACTTTCAAAACTTGATCCAGTAAGAACTAAAAATGGTTGTCACTTGTATGACTGGACATGTTTGGCCACTGCAACCTGAAGACTTGCTTTCTCACGTGCTCAATGTAGGCCGTCATGTCGTGGTGCCATGAAGCCGGAATACGTAAATGTTTGTTCTTGGCAAGATAAAACAGCACATCTGGAAGTTTGGCATCAAGCCATAGGTCATCATCACAAAGTTGTACAAAGAGTTCCCTGTCTGTCCCCAAGTGGTCCGTTGGAACTTTGCACCTCAAGTCCCGCCTAGGAAGATGCACGTTCTGTCGGTACAAGTCAACCAGCCGCTCGCCCATAGAGCGGGGATATACCCTTGGCAAAGGATGGGCTGGACTGGGGAGCTAAACTATGGGCACCACATTTTTCATTTTTTTCAATGGGGATTTGAAATACATAAGCCCGGGGCTTTGTAGCTTCAAGATCTTTTTTCACACCCACAAATCGCTTCTTTCCTGTGGCATCCTTGTAGGTACCTTATGTGCAAGGGTCCAACCAGGTGTAAACCACTATGGGAAAAATGCGGGTCATCCTTCCGAATACATTTTAATCCTAAGTTTCGTACGTGTGGTTTTCACTGGTAAGAGAGCCCGCTTCTCTTTGGTAAGGGTGCCCAAGTCCAAGCCAGCTATCATTGGGCTGTTGCTCATAACTGCAAGCCTCTTGGGTGAGATCGCACCTTCGAAGAGGCCAAGCCAAAAAGCTTGGCGGTATACCTGAGCATGTGAAAGAGGTGATAAGGTGGACAGGAGAGTACATTGGCTCGCCACAACAACCCTTCTAAGTTACAGATGAGTTTCCCAACAGACCCGGTTTTGGAACCAGTCCCATCTGGGATGCTTTGGGAGGAGTGAGGCATCAGGTTGCTCCACCGCAAAGATCAATCTCTTTGCCACACAAAGTATGCAAATTAAAACAAGCCTTAGATAACAGGGATCTTCGTTTTTCATTCTGCATGTAAAAAATGAAATTTGCAAATGGGATGTAAAGGCAGGTGAGCAATAACTGCATCCAATCAGATCAGAAACCGTGAAATCATTACATTGGCAGCCGCCACAAATTCAAACCGCTGTGCCCCAAGAATGTTCATAATTGAACGGCCCGATGTGAATCTACACGGCAGCCCCCAGCTTCTGCAATCTGGCCCAGCTAAGGCCAATCCATCAGGCACCATGGAAAGCACAGCATATAGTGCCAGCCTGTGGAGCTGCTCGGTCAGCACTGGGTGAAAGGAGGGATGGAGGATTGGTCAAGTTGAGTCTTTATCTTGAATTCTTGGGGCAATAATTCATGGACGAGAAACACAAAGCCTGCTTCAGAATTGAAGTTCATGGAGTCATGGTGCTCCACGTCATAAGTGAGAACTCGATATCCTGCCTTGATCCTTATTGCATGGCGTGAGTCATCAAGTTGCCATCAAAGACCATCTAACCCACCAAACTGTTTTTACTAAGCTTGGCCTCTATACACTACATGGTTAACAGTAAGAGCATTGGGGAAATTAAGGCCCTCTCCATGCACGGCTGCAATTGGCTGCCCCAGCAAATACATCGAAAAAGTGGAAGCGCTCAGCGATCTCGATTTGCGAAGACCATTTCAAAAGCAATACGATTGCTATAAGTATCTGCAGGGGAACAAAATCAATATCATCTGACAACCCCACATCCGATCAATTGGTGCCTTTAAACCTTCACTGCTAATTTTCCACTTGGGTTGGTCCCCAAAAAAAGGCCCCCACAAGTCCCAAATTCTTTCATAAAATGCAGGGAAAACACTGCTTTTTGGGGACTTGTGGGGGCCTTTTTTGGTGAACCAACCCAAGTGGAAATTTACCAACCTTTACCAAAAGATTTCTATACCAGCCTAGGTTAACCATCACAAATGCTTTGACCCTGGCCTTTGGTGAATGGGCCTGGATAAGGTTCTTCACTGTGGAGTCTGCTGGGTCGGCACGTGGGGTCCCCACCATTGCTGAAATCTTCACGGTGGCAGCGGCGAGGCGGGGTGCTGCGATCAAATGATCAGCTACAAACACTCAACTGGGAAGATGTGGATGTGGTAGTGAGATAGCTTCGAACTTGAAGAATCGCTGGTACTTCGTTGATTCGTATCATAATCAAAAGAAACGAGAAGGTTGATATTCACAAACTCTTTCAAGGTGGCTGGGCAAAACATGGGCTTGGCAAGGGGGGGCAGACCTTGAAGAGTCCATCCTTCACACCCATCTCGCATTCCACGACGCCTGCGTGGGCAAACCCCTGCTGTTGATGACACAATACTTCTTTTTAGTTCCATCGAGTGCCTATACTGTTAAGTATCCTGATGCCATTTGCATTTTTTCCGGTCAACTCCATCGTGAGCAGCGGCAGGCGAGCTGCTAAAATTGTAGCAACCAAACGCCCTGCAGGAATCCCCGTAATTTGACATAGATCAAAGCTAAATTGTACGTGTTTTTTCACGTACTAAAACCCCTGGGTTAATCTTTCAACCCGTTTCCACAGAACTGGAAAACCCCTAGTCCACATCCTGGGACCCATCGTCCTCTTCCACTCCAGCCTGGCACAGCGGGCCGGGTTGAACGTGGTTGAGCTTTGTGTTTCCAAAGGCTTAAACAAAACAATTGTTGGGGTTTTCTTTGGGAGTGAAAATTGCATTCCAGGCGGGGCCAGAAACCGAGATGATCGAAAGTTATATAGTGGAGTGAAATTAAGATCGATGAATTCTAAAGGATCTTGAAAATTTGAACAGCTAGAATGCCATAAGAGGAAGATAAAAAAGGAAACCAACCTGGCAAAGACGATAACATATCGGGATGGCCTCCTGCTGCTCATAGTCAAGCTTCGCCTTTTGGTAAGCCTCAGAATCAAACAGTGAATTTGGAACACCCCAAGCCACTGGCATATAAAGGGAATGGCCAGATACGCAGACCATTCATTCTATTTTTGAATTTTGGATTTCAACATGTTGATAGATTTGTGCGATCTAGAGACTGCTTGGCCTGCTTTCTTTGCTTCGTTTTCATCTGCACCTTGCGCTCTGGCCCTGGCCCTGGCACAACAGTAGGCGGTAGACAGGATGCTGTGCTTCTTCTTCTTCTTGATAAGGGCGGGATCCACCTCACAAGGGGGATCGGCGGGAGGCACTTCTTCTCCTTCTTCATGTGCTGCCTTCTTGCTCTTGCTCTTGCGGGGTGCTCTGGTCTTGGGCACCGGGACCTCCCCAGACGGTTTGGGATTGGCCGGAGGTTCTTCTTCTCCTTCTTCATGTGCTGCCTTCTTGCTCTTGCTCTTGCGGGGTGCTCTGGTCTTGGGCACCGGGACCTCACTAGATCCAGCAGACGGTTTGGGATTGGCCGGAGGTTCTTCGTTTTCTTCTTCATGCGCTGCCTTCTTGCTCTTGCGTGCTGCTTTGCTCTTGGGCACCGGGACCTCACTAGATCCAGCAGCTTCACCAGACGATCTGGCTCTGCTGGGCTTTGCGGCCAACTTTGCTTTCTTCACAGGTCGCTCAACAGCAGTCTCTGGGTCTGCCTTCTTTCCTTTTTTTGTGACCTTTGACTCTGAGTTTGAGCCGTCTTCCTTCTCAACAACTGGCGTGGGAACTGCTTCTTTCCCTTGCGCATCTTCCGGGCTGGCTGCAGCAGCTTTCTTTGCTGCTCTGGATTTGCACTTCGCCTTGGCTGCTGCTTTTGCCTTCGGTTTGGATTTTGCCTTGGCACTGCACTTGGCTGTGGGGCGCCTCTTGCGAGGCTTCGGCTTCGGCTCCTCTGATCCAACCCCCTCCTCCTCCTCATTCCCAGACTCACCCTCACCCCCGGATGCTTCAGCATCCTCACCAGAGCCTCGACATCCGTTGTTCTGTTCTGCTGGGGACAAGTATGTAGCCTGAGCAACTGCTGCAGGGGTATCATCCACAACCTCTGAGCTTTTGACGATTGCGCCAGTGACACCCACAGACACCACCTTTGGTATCTTGAAATTTTTGGCACATGGGTTTGGTCTCGGGTCCACCCCTTTCTCCACAACCTCCTTTGGGTGGGCTTTCCCAAAATTCCCATCATCTTCTGGACGGCTTTCTGGACAAGAAGTGTGCCCAGCATCAGCGAGTCTCACAGGAAAACCTTTGAGGTGCGGGTCATCTGGATATTGCTCTTCGCCTTCCCCTGGCTCTTCTTTCACTTGGAAAATCTTACGATGATCTGGCTTGGGGGGTCCAGGCGGCATTGCCATGAGGTTGGAGGTCGTTGGTTCCATCCCTCCGACTGGCTTCCCTGAAGTGGTTTTGGTTTCTGACGGGGTTGCCATGGAACCCTGCACAGGCTGGGAACGACCCAGATGTCCACTCACTCCCTTCTCGCAATCGGCCTGTGGGCCTGGGACATCACCAAGCAAAGGCTGCGTCTCAGCATTGTCCATACCTTGCAGCTGCGATAGGGACAGACAGGTCTTCAGAGAAAAACCGTGTCGGGGAAACCTGCACAATTTTTTGGAAATCTTTTAGGTGTTGAGCCCAGCTTGGAAAATGGTACTGGCCAAATTCTTCCTATTTCTAGAATTTAATAAATCCAATTTGTTGCAGAATAGCTGCAGTAAGATGTGCTAGTAGCAGCTTTCTTCTTGGCCAAAAGTGTGTCCAAATAGGCTTCCTCCTCCCTAAGCCGACGTAGCAAATCCACTTTGGCATTTCTTTCGGAACGAAACTTCAGCTGGCGCTCCAGCTCGGCAGCCTCACCTTTCCTTGGGGTGTATGGTTCCTCATCATCCCCAAGTGGGGTCTTGAAATCAGCTGGGAGACAGGGCTGCTCACGGAACCAGCCAATGTCTGAGTTGACTTTTTTGCAGTCCCAGCAGAAGAAACCAACATTCCGGCTTTTGTAGGTAGAATGCTTGACCCTAGAAAAGCTAGATTCCAAACATCGGGATGGCTTTGGGGGAGGCGTCCAGATCGGAGACAAAGAAGGAGCAGAGGCTTCTGCAGCCCCACCCTCGGATGTCCCTTTCCCACCTCCAGCTTCCGCAGGTGGGGGCAAGACTTCAGAAGCTTCAGCACGAGAAGTCGCTTCTTGGTGAAGCAGCTCTTCAGCACCAGCGCCTGTCGGGGCAACAGAAACTTGGCTGTACATGAGTATGGGATGTCTTGAAGGGCCCGATGCATGTGGGGGTTGTCAAAAAAAAATGTTTTGAATTTCCATGGGCTTGTGCCTGCTCACTGCAACTCTAGAGTATGACCGGCTTACTGGCCAAGCCTTCTCCGTTGTCATCAGGCAGCATTGGCACAGTAGATGCCTTCGAATCAAGTTGGACTCCCCAGGTGAAGGGATACTTGCGAAACTAGTGCTATCCAACCTCTGGATTTGGAAATTTGATGTTTTATTAGCAGGCCCAGCCAGCTTTGCTGTCAAGATGCGGTTGTATCGGTGGGGTACTCGCTGTCATCGCTGCTGCCTCCGTCATCTTCTGACTCATCATCACCTGAGGATGCAAAGTTCTTATTGGATTATTGGGCAACTTGGTTTTAGCACGAAAGGGAGTGGTGGCAGTTATGACCCCAAGAAACCTGTAATCCCCAAACCTGGATGATTCTGACTAGTCACGGAAAGGGTTTTCTTCACCATCCTCATCATCAGGATCTGCAGAATTAGGGTTGGAGATTTCGGCCACTTCAAACAATTCCTGCATGACCCTATCTCTCGGCCAATGGGGCCGCTTGGCCGCTCTGGTGAAGACGGTGATGAGCCGCCTCACTTTCCACGCTTCCTTCTTGACGGTGCCACCTTAGTGGAGTTGAGATATCATTGAAGAAACTTTTGGATAAGTATTAATTATGGCGTATTATGGGTTATAGGTTCAATTAGTGGGGGTCCCTCAAGCATATATCCTGTGGAAATGATATATGATAGGGTTTGAATGCCCAAACATCAGGTAAAATAACCTTCTACAGCCATGGTACTTGAGACATCAGGCTTTCCACGGGGCCTAGTTCTCCACAAAAAGATTCTGGTGGCTTCCCGAAGCAAGGTGATGTTGGGTTTCATGCCCAAATATTTGATGACGGGAACCAGCACAGCGCAGTTCTCCCGGACATCACTTCGGTCAATTTTGGTTCTGGACACCAAAGAAACCTTTGTGGTTGAAGATCCCCTGACATTTATCACAGGATCATCCATCCACGACTGCACCACTGCTTCTATGAATGTTTCGTGGGAACCCATGGCAAGCTAAGCAGGTCCCTTTTGATCAAAAGCAGGCTGCAAGGGCCAAGAATGGTTGAAAGTAGGCACACTCGACTTCGGGCATGTTCTTTCCTTGAAAAAACATAGTTCACATGACCAAGGTCCAAATCTGAAAAAAAACATTTTAAATTTATTCCAATGACGGATCCATTAACACCCACTGGTTTAAGAGACATGTGCATAGGTGATGGGGGGTGGCACCTTTGTCATGCCACCATGCTGTTTGTACCTGTGCAGCCCGGCTCATCCAAGGCAGAACTTCTTGACTGCATTCTGCTATGCAAGAGTGCACAAAACACAGACAAGGGGGCACAACCTGGTACTCGAGGGAAATTGGGAACAACGCGGCCCCACCGGAGCCAAAAACGCTCGAAGTTCAAAAAAACATCCGAACAGCATGTTCCACATTATCTCAAAATTCCTGCACGTTGCGCCAAATTGCGCTCGAATGAGGATGGCACGTAAATTTAGGTAACGATCGAGGCTCCAGGTATATATATGGTATATATGGTATATATGGTATGTATATGGTATATATGACGTATATATGGTATACATATATATATATGGTATATGTCATTCCATTGTAATTTAGGGACTGCATCTCCCATCACCAGTCGCACCACCAGTCGCACCAGTTGACAGCGATTTTTTTGGGTTGCAACCATCCTGGATTGGTGCAGGATTTCGCTATCCACAGTAGCGATGGAAACTGGCCCATAAATCTGATGATTTACCTATTAAAAACGATGATTTTCCGGTTGTCTTGTTAAATAACCAGAGTGGAGGTGGCTTGAAATGTTCGTTGAAAATCGAAAGAGTTCTTGACTCATGTGACTCATGTGGTTTTTCGCCACTGTCATAAACAACTACCATTTTGGGATGGTTGGAATCCCACCAATTTATGGTAATATTCAGGATGGTTATAAAAATGGGTTTACCACATGAAAAACCTGGAACTTGGCTGAGTCTATTACCCATGTAAACCCCAACATTATTTAATGCAACTCATCTGAAAAAGACCTGGTGATATTATCATGTTGGCACATCATTACTGTGCGAAACAGGGATGCTAAAATGGTAAACCAACGTTGTCAATAACCTGTTCCAGCATGGCTGAAAATTCCCAACACTGTTTCATTGCTGCACAATTGGACAAAGTATCTATTTACTTCAGTGTTGAGAAACAGGTAGATTTGACCATGAATAATGAACAATCAACAATTAACAATCATGAAAACTAAACGCACAGTGTTTGGAAAATGGAACCCATTCGAACCTGGGTTTGAAGAGATCGAATGGCTTGGGGAATGAAACAATTCGAGAAAGCGTTGACCAACCACATGCGACATACCAGATAGTAGGTAATAGATGGTGATAGAAAATTTTATGAATGCGACACTTGACAACAAAAGGGGCTATCCTACAGTATTTAAAGTTTACTTCCAGATCTTCTTTGCCTTGTGGCCGTCATCCGCTGTCTGGATGGTGATTATTACCGAGATATTAGATATATACCCTCTGGCAATTTAACATAGCTATTGAAAATACCCCATTTATAGTTGGTTTACATATTCAAAATGGTGATTTTCTAAAGCCATGTTAGTTTACCAGACGGTACCTCCCAAACTCATTATCACCGGCTTTGAACATTGTTGGTCTCAACTTTGCCCTTTTTTTGGGTGCCATCATCGTCCAACACAAAAATCAGCCGGTTGAACCCAGGCTGCACCCAGGCACCACGTGGCCTCTCCATCTCGAACTTGTGACCGGAATTCTCCATCTGTTCACTCAAGTTGGAGACCTCCGGCGCGTTGCGGCTCCACCCGGCACCCGATGAACTTCGGAAGGGGCATGTTTTTGGGATTTTTTCACCCGTGAATGCTCATACCAAGATATCATTATACACATTTGCATGCACTTTTGTATGTATATTAAATTATATATATATACACATGTATATTTTTTTTCCCAACGAGCACAAATGGGCTCCCAACAGCAACTGATGGCAAATTGGCCATTCCGCTTCACGAAATAAAAAGATGTAAGAATTGGTTGGGGTGAAAAATCATCACTTCTCCTTCCTAAGGAGGACAATCGCAGAAAAAAAATAGTTTTAATGTACAAGGCTACAACTGTCAGAGGGCGTGTGATCAGAAAAGATGAAGAATGCCATTTACAGCTGCTTGTTTTATACCTGCGATCAATTGTCTGTCGTTAAAATCAAACTGTCTGTCTGGTCCGTATAAGTAGTAACAAGAATCTTTAAATGTTTCAATGAGCCAATCTGCTCTGGGTCTGCCTGGTCTCAGTAGAGGAGGGGTTCTAGACGAAAAAATAGTATGAGAAAAGGTAACTTGAAAAAGGGGGTCATCACTACGACATCTGAGGATATGTCCAAAAAATTGCATTTCCTGTTCCGCCATGTTTCACCAAAGCTCTCATAATGACATCCGTATTGGTTCTTGATCAAATCATACATGCGTTCGTTTGTGTATTGCCTATCGATGAAAGTCGGGGGAATGTCAAGAATCCTTCTGAGGGACTTGTTTTGGAAACCGTTTAGTTTAGATATTTCTATCTATGTGTGAGTTGAATGCATTCAAGACTATATAGAAGTTTGGATCTAATAATGGCGTTGAAGACCTGGATTTTCCATTTGATGCTGGTACGCGCCTTTTTCCAGAATAGTTTCAGCCTGTTGCAGGTAGCTATACAGTCGTTTAGCCGGTTGGCTACCTCTGCTTTATTATTGAAAGAGTCTGTGAGGAGAGTGCCAAGGTATGTAGCGGAGGATTTGCGTGGAACTAATGCTCCGGCTGCTGGTCCGTTAGGTGAAAATCGTACAGAGGAAATCCTTTGATTAGCAGTCAGGTTAATGCACTTGTTATAATTTAATTTTAACCCAAAATAGGCCGAATGTCTTTCGATAGCGTGAAGTAGAACACTGATACAGTGAGTGTTGGCTCCAAAAATGAGGGTATCATCAGCAAACAAAATTTCGGTAAAGGATATTCCATCGAATGGTTGGCGTTGTTTGGGTGTGTTAAGCTCAGATTTGATATCAGTGAACATAGCGCTCATTACCAAGCAGAAAAGATAAGGAGAAAGGGGACAGCCTTGTCTTATTCCCGTTTTCTGCTTCTTCCAGTCCGAGTCAATTCCATTCACAGAAACCTTGAAGTCAGGATTGGAATAGAAACACTGAATCAATTTAATGATTTTAGCAGGAACCTTGAGCCTTTGAAGTGTCTCTATCATTTTGGAATGAAGAACCTTATCAAACGCCTTTTCCCAATCTAGTAAAATCAACGTACTTGCAGACTTTGATTTTTCGCAGTAATCCTGAAGGCGTCTTGCCAGATATATAGCTTCAGCTGTGCTTTTGGATTTACGGAAGCCGTATTGGGTAGGGGTAATCCATTTGTCAAGCCCTTTGTCCAATCGGTCTTTGATGAGTGCTGCGAGGATTTTGTAGCAAGTGTTAAGAAGTGAGATAGGACGGTAGTTTTCCAATTGTGAAGAATCTCCCTTTTTACAGATGGATACTACCACTGCTCGGAGATGTTCAGGAGCCAAAACACTGGAGACTAAGCATTGATTGAACGCATCAAGAAGAATTTGTCTGTTGTCCGCAGACAACCATTTGAAAAGTTCTCCAACGACGCCGTCTTCTCCTGGAGTTTTATTATTCTTTATACGCGCAATAACTGAATCCAATTCTTCAAGGGTAAACATTGAATCATCAACTACATGACTTCCATCCTGTAATGCCACATGCTCTCTAGCAGGGTTTTGAGCGGGGTTGGAAGAGCCCCATTGGATATTTTCAAGGTAGTCGGCCGCTGCTTCGGCGTATTTATCAAGTGGAATGTAATTGCCAAAACGATCTTTAACTTTTGAAAATTGCGGCGTGAATTTTGAACGAAGGCGTTTTAACCCTGACCATTGATAACCTGACGAGTTGATTTCCTCCAGTTGTTCAAGAAGGTGATTTTCCTTACCATGCTTTACCTGCTGTGTAATGTCTATGTTTATAGTTGCAGCAAGGTCCCAATCCTGAGCTTCCAGCGCTGACCATCTTTGTTCAAGTAAGCGCCATGTAGCTTCAGAAATATATTCTTTCTTTTGTTTCGGGTGTCGAAGTGGCAAAGAAGCTTTGGCGCTAATTGAAAGCGTCTGGTTAATTTGTTGAACTGAAATATGTTGGTCTTCGGCGAGGTCTTCCTTCTGTTTTGAGAGTTCGTAGGAAATAAGGCTGTTATAGTTGGTCAAATTCTCTTCTGTAGGCTTGTGGAAACGAACTGGTAAGTTAGCATGTTGTCGTGGTTTTACCTTTAGTTTGAACAGCACCTCAGCAATTAGAAGTTTGTGGTCGGTATAAATAGTGTGGATATAAGTTGACTCAATGTTTTGGATGGAATTCTTCCATGGCGAATTGACCAGGAAATAGTCCATCTGGGCATATATTTATGGAAAGTAAAGGGCGGTTCCCATGTACGAACACCTACAGCACGATACGTGATGAGATGCTCCTCTGCTTTTTGAAGGAAAGTGTTTTTAATAATCATGTTACGCTCCAAGCAGAATTCGATTAAGCGGGATCGGTTCTCAAACTGAGCATCACTTAGAAAATCAATTTCATGTGTGTTTGCCCCAAAAGTGAACGCTCCAATAACAGAGGATTCCGTGGGGAGAGCTTTTATCATACGCGCATTAAAGTCACCGCAAATGATCTTGGGGGAGTAAGCGTATTTTTGATCCATAATGGTGTGAAGTTCCTGACAATGTTTGTCAGAGGCCGTTGGGTCCGTGTGACATGCTTGAGGGGCATACGAAGAAACTATATCCAAATCACCGATTTGCATGATAAGAGTACCTACAATGTTTCTAGCACTGATAGGTTGGACGGATTTTAAACATCTTTGGGCTTGTTTTGAGAAAACGATACCTACTCCCAGGTGTTCTTTGGCCTTCTGAAAAATACGACAATGTTCTTCGTTGCGCCTGGACGCCCGACCTGTCCTAGCTAAGGCTTCCGCGTTGGCTCGGTCTGTCAGCCACATCGGACGACCAGTACATGTCGTAACCCTGATGTGTTTCTTTTGAGTTGGAATTAATCTTAGTTTCTTGAAGACATAAGATATCAATTTGATACTTACCCATCAAGTGAACAAGTCTTTCCCTTTTGGAAATTGACGCGAGTCCTCTGCAGTTGAGGGAGGCAATCTTAAAGCCTTTTAACTCTTTGTTGAGAAAAATGTTATCTTGGTAAAGTGAGTCAGGGGGTGAGTTTGAGTCAGTCGAATCAGGATTATCGAAGTAAAAAGCAGAATCGAGATTATTTGAATTGCGGAATGAGTTGTGTGCAAATGGTGTTGCCGTTGGATCTTGGGCTTTGTACGCAGCTGCCTGACCAGCCAAGTCATGGCACTGCGCCCTGATTCGTCTATAATGAATGCGTTGGTCGTGCCTTTTTAAGCTGCGCCTTACTCTTCTGTTGATCAAGGCAGTAACGCTTCTACACTTTCTTTTCAGGGTTTTTTGGCTCTCATGTTGGTTACCGCTGACAGCTACTTTGTCGGTAGCCGTGCGGCTTTCCCGCATCGCCCTGTGAGGGCCTGTTGGCAGGGTATGAGTAGATTTGGGTTTCATGTTCTGTTGTGAAGGTTTAGCCACGTAATTTCGGGTGTTAGCATCATTGTGAAGAGAAAGATGATGAAAAGTCAATGGTTGGAATTTATTTTTGTGGGAAGATTTAACTTTAGAATGCGTCTTCTTCTGAGAGTACCACGAGATTACCTCGAGAGGCTCGAAAGCCTTGTGGCGTGCGCCACCCTCCTGCCACCAACGTCACAAAATCTAGAGAATCGGTGCAAGTCTTCAAGTTTTTGTAGTGGACTCCTCCTCTAGCAGTGTGGTCTGCATTGGCCATGCAGACGAACTCGGGGGTCCAGTTCAAATTCACCAATCCGTTCGAGTTCTCGTGCTGGACTTCTCGAATGTAGGCTGCCACTTGGTGCAACTCGCCAACCCAGTCAGGAAATCTCCATCGCGCTTGGCGGTTAATCGTGACAGCAGAATGCTGTTTTGATTAAGTCCAGCGGTTGAATCTGTCGAGGGAACCTAGGATGCGCTCCCATTTCCATGGCACGCTCCAGAGCATGTTGAGCCGCTCTGTTTAGAGACTTGGCCTCTAACAGTTGCCTCATAGCTCTTGCGCTAGCGATGTTCCATTTGTCGTATTGGTTGGTGAACGTACATGTATTATATATATATAATTGTATATAATCGCTTGTGTATAATATAATTATATATATACACATAGGATCACATAGGTATAGACAGACACAATGAATGGATCTAGCAGACATCACTGCGAGTTTTGCTACCCTCGGGTTCCCTTTACAACGCACCGATGGCCTCCTGTTTGGCCTGTTCAAGCTCCTGGTAGCGTGCTGCTCCAACGATTTGTGGGTTGAAGCACAAAGTAGCGATAGTAATAGATGAATCATAAGGGACTGTCCCCAAAGATGTCTAAGCCAAACATGCTTTGGGTGTGTTTCAGAATGCCCCCAAATTGTTTGTGAAATGAAGATGATGTATTGAGGTATACGGTATACTTTATTAGTTGATTTACCACAGTATTGGAATATCTTGGTGCTTTTCTGATGTGGGGATCTCTCAAACCATGGGATTCTTAAAATGATGGGTTGCTTCGTGGTTTCCCCACCCCAAAAAAGGCTAGTCTTTGGGGATAGTCATCCCGGATGCTAAGCTGCTAAACCACCAACCAGATACCAGTATCATTGGTTATATAATATATACCATGATAATCATATATATATATTTCCAATATGTACTGTATCCCAATGTTTTACCATCTGCTTATTTAACATAGCTATGGAAAATCCATTATAAATGGAGGTTTTACTGGGAAAATCATCTGCAAATGGGCCATTTTCCATAGCTATGTTAAATAACCAAAGGGTATCATGTTTTTCCGTAGGTAAATCACCATTTTCATCCATTTTCCCACCTTGCATCACCAAATCATGCCCAATAGGGACGATCTCCTTGCCAACCATCACTTTCGTGACGTCGTGGTCCAGTTGCTTTTCCAATCAAACTCTATATATATATATGCATATATATCAAATATATGTGTTTACCTATATCATGGAATTTTTCTTTTCAACAAAGGTACAAGTTCTTGTATTTTCAGGTTTCAGCTGGGGTTATCTTATAATCCCAAATAGACTGATAAACCTATGGGGCAAAACTAGAAACCGTTAAGCACCTGCGGCAGCAGCGCTTTTTACTGAGCCGCAACAGCTGTGGTAACATGCTAGTATACATGGGGTTTGTAGTGGAGTGCGATTACACCCCCCTCAGGTGAGCCGGTCACGGCAAGGCTGCCCATTTACCAGGGCGAGGTCTTTAAGACCTGCCTTACCGCTCCTGGCTCTTTTGCACGACCCGAGGAAACCCAAACAGCGGCTATGATACAAAAATCGATCGTCAATGCAAGCAGTTTCACAACTTATCCCTCTTCCCACTCAACTCGGCCATGCCTGATGACTTTCTCGTACCAGCGCCCATGCCACTTCTGCCATTCTCCAGTGTAACGGCGATCATCGTGGGACTGACTTTGCTGAGGGCGGTTGATCCACTGACTTGCAGACGTTGATGATGAAGCTACCTCTACGGTGGATGTTCGGGCAACCGGTTTGGCGGTGCCTTTCTTGGAGGGACCTTGGCCGTACGCACCAGTCTGCTCAGCTTTGCGCTTGGCCTCGTTCTGTTCGCGAGCCCTGTCAGACTGTTTCTTCTTCTCCGCAGCGTTCTGCTTGTACAGCTCCTCGTTTTGTCCCTTAATCCACCTCAAATGACGTTCAGCATCATGAACAGCGATGTTGTCAACGCCAGTACAAGACAACAAAAGGTTGTGTCCAGGATTCCGGTTCAGGTAGTCAACGTACTCTTCCTCGGAGTAGATTTCCGTCCGGTACATGTAGAACCATGGTTGGTCGATGTACCTGAACGACTTCGGGACGTCAAGACGGCTTGCCATATCCAAGTAAACCAGCCTCATAGCATTGTGCTCCAGCTGAGATTGCTCAGAAACACCCATCTTGACCTGAGCCTTGGTACGACCTGGCTTTGGCAAATGTGCAGACTTGAGGAGGTCGTACCGTTCACAATCGTACTCATTCTCCCCCTCGTTCAGCACGCTCTCTGCGAATGTGGCGTCCTGGGCAAACCTGTCAGCCACGGACACATAGCCTAAGCTCAAGGCACGGTCGAATCGACTCTTTGCCCTTGCCAACAAACTGGCTTCCGGACTAGAGCTTCCTCTTGCCTGGTCGTCCAACAAACCCAAAGATTCAAGCTGACTGTGTGTGATGCTCTGCAGGTACTCACCACGAAAATCATAGTACAAGCCCAGCTTGTGAAGGGCGGCCTTCCTGCGTTCTGCAATCTTGGTTCGGTCGGCCTTGTTCACCCCTTCGAGCATCAATCCACACACATCGCATTCAATCTGTCCCTTGAAAGTCTGTGCAAAACATCTTGAACATTGCGTGACTTCAATCTTGACCGGCACCGGCTTCTTGTCCTCCTTCTTCACCTCTTTCTTCGAAGGTTGGTCATCGCCTTTAGGGCGAGACTTCTGCTTTGGCACCGGTGACTTGGATGTTGATGCCGGCGTCTTTGTGGGTGACTCTGCAACTGGAGCTTTTGGATCTTTCTGTACTGCCTTCGGCGGTGCAACTTTTGATACAGGCTCCAAGAAGGCCGCAGCTGATGATGCCGCAGGCACAGCTGCGAGCGCGCTTGTCAGGGCTGCCTTCTTCTTTGCAGGTTCATCCTTTGCTGCTGCATCAACTTCTGAGGTCACAGCTTTTGGAACTTCTGGTGCATGAGGTGCAGAAGTCCCTTCCTTCGGTGATGGTTTTGGAGGTACTTTCGGCGGTGTCTTTGGGCTCTCAACCTTTGCTGCAGGAGGTTTCGGAGCTTCACCCTTCGGAGGAGGGGGCAACAATCTGCTGCTTGCATATCCAGGCATACCGGCAAGTTGGGCCACATTTGGTGGCGGAGGCTTCACCTTTCCTGGGAAAAATGCTGTTGCAGTGGGCGCGCCAGTTGAGGCGGCCGGAGACTTGGAACCAGTCCGTTTTGATGCCTTGGCCTCAAAGGTCTCGACAAGCTTCTGGACTCCAACTTCTCCCCCACTGCTTGCTGCAGACTGTGCGACCTCCTGCTGGCGACGATACAAATTCACCTTCTTGGCAGTGTCATCGACAGAAATAATGTATTGCGGCGGGACGACGTCACTTGTAAGAATGCCGTCGGAGGCTGTCCTGAAAAACACAATTCCAGCTTTGACAGCTTCTGCCATTGCAACCCTGATTTCAATGGGTCGTTCAGCACGCAAACCGCTCACATACTCTTTCTCGTCGACACGCACATCGCTAAAATAGGAGTGTGCTCTGCCTGATGAATTTCGTTCTCCTCCTCCAGCCACGAAGCCATTCTCAATGATGCCCTTCCAATTGCCTTTTGTAGTCCTGTGATAAACTACGCCAGGGCACATCTGAGGAGTGGTAATCTTTTTACCTTTGGCGTTCATTTTCTGGATCGCTGCTGCTCCAGACAGAGCATAGATTTCCACTGCATTGAACGTGTCCTCAGCTGAAGCGGCATCCATGGCACGTTTCGTGTGCCCCTGCACTGCACGGATCCTGATGGGCCAGTAGGCTAACCCTTTACGGGTTGCCTTCTGGTACCCGGCAATGCACTGGAACTCAAAACGGCACTTGCTGTCCCAGTAAAGAAGGGAAATGAGGGGCAACTTGGCTGGCAGCATTTGATTGAACATTCGAAAGAAGTCATCAAGGTCAAGCCACATGTTTTCATCAAATCCAGAGGTGTCCTGACCCGGCTGTCCACGCGTCACAGCATTGACCTTGGTCTTGTGTCGGTCCATGCGGTCTGGGTACCTCAGCTCCTTTGCCCCATCCATCTCCCAACAGGTTTTGGTGATCAATTCGTAGGGATGGGAATCAACGACACAATGTTCAACTACTTCTGCATTGATGTTTTCGTCCAACGTGATACGATATTTGTCAAGGTGTCCAAGCGCATGTTTCGGGATGATTGTACCCTTGACCTCGTTCTCTTGCAGGGGCTCACCAGTTGAGGTGGCCTGAGTTGAATCCTCCTGTGTCGCTGGAGCTTTCGCCTTGGGGTCAGGTGGAGCTGCGTGGCTGGCCTTCGCCTTGCCCACCGATGGGCCCTCATGCTCATCGGGATCCAGAGCATCCCATGGGTCGCCTTCCTCATCATCATCTTCGGCGACACCAGCGTCAGTCGGGCGATCTCTCAACTCCTCTGCTGTGAAGCTTTCTGGGGTCGAGACGCTCGGTGCAGATTTGTTCGTCTTCTCCCGGAGAGCGTTGAGGACCTGCACAAACCTGACTGGGAGGTGCTCCATCTTTGGTGGGACATCACACATTGTAGCCTCTCCTGCAGGACGCCTGCGCTTGTACAAAGACAGGTTGTACTGGGGCACCAAGATGTCCGTCATGTGCAACATGTGGAGAGTTGCCATGACATATCCGATCATCTCACTTCGGTTGAGCTCGGTCTCGAATGCGCGAAAGTAGTCCCTGAGCTCAAGCCTTGGTGGAAGCTTGTCATTCTGAATCCACCGAATCCGATCGTTGTCACTGGCAATCTCCTTGTGGAACCATTCCTTCAGTCGCTCCACAAATGTGGTGAAGATGAGAATCAATCCATAAGTGAGCGGGTCGGGCTCCCCGATTAGGGCGGCCTGATCCACTCCCAACTCCTTGAGCTGATTGTTCCACCACACGATGTTGCCCTTGACCCTGTCCATGATGGCATTCCAGTCGCCCTGTGGTTCCCTCTGCCCCCAAATGATTTGGGAAGGGGTTCAACACCATATTCCCCACAAATTTCATTCCCAGACCAAAAGATTACCGAAATAACCCTGATGGCTGATCCATGAGAAGAATATTTCGCCATCAGCTCCTTGATCATGGAAATATTTGCTTTGCAGAGCTGTTGCAAATCCTTACCCCAGAGCATGTCATGACCGATTTCGAGAACCATGTCCGACTTTCGCAATCCCAGATCCTCCTTCAAGGTGTACTTCTTCAAAGTCTTACCCTTTCCAGTGATCAGAGCCAAAGTTGAATCGGAAGTCACCACGTAGATGGTGGGCACGACGTCTACCGCCGGCCTTGATGTCCCAGGGACGTACTCAGTAGGCAAGTTCAGATCCCACAGCGAGTCATGCTCAAGCTCGGACAGATGGCGGATCTCCTTTGCCCACGGCACATTTGTCAGGGCGTCAGTTGCCATGGATTGCGCAGTGAAGCATTGCATGAATCCTGCGGCAAGCTCAAGGTCTTCTGTCCTGT